AAATCATATCTTAGTATCAAACTACCTTTTAATAGTAGCTTTTTAAAAGTCTTTTCTATTTTCCCTGCCTCCCAAGTGGATATGATTTGTGCCTCATTTAAAACACCCTGGTATTGCATTATCTTTCTAGCAGGCATTTGCCCTTCTGGTTATTTGCATATAAGGTCCCCAGGGCAGGAATAGTGGTCACTTTGCACTTGCTGTATACTTGAACTTTTGAACTGCCCACGCTCACAAAGCTAGTTAGACGCTGCTGCCCGACACTGTACAGGAATTCAAAGAATCCTGTGACATTTTCCTTCACTGGAGTTTTTTGTGCCCTGGAAAACTCACACATCTGACGCATCATAGACCTTCTCTGCTCAAACCAAAGTAGGTTAAAGCAGATTATGTGAATTAGAACACTCAGCGTTATGTACATGGGGGTTTTTGTGGGGTTTTTTACGTATAACATACACCTATTAGCAGCAAAATGTAGATGACCTTAAGTTCTAGTTAATGAAGTGGATAACATTTTTTTTTTCTTTTGCGGTACGCGGGCCTCTCACTGTTGTGGCCTCTCCCGTTGCAGAGCACAGGCTCAGGACGCGCAGGCTCAGCGGCCATGGCTCATGAGCCCAGCCGCTCCGCGGCATGTGGGATCTTCCCAGACCGGGGCACGAACCCGTGTCCCCTTTATTGGCAGGCGGACTCTCAACCACTGCGCCACCAGGGAAGCCCAAATTAAATTTTACTTTTAAATCTCGAAATAGCATGGGGTTGGCTTAGGAAAGCTCTGTCACAGTGGTGTTGGAGACAAGCATGCAGCTGGGCGTGGAGAGCTGTCTGGTCTCTGAAGAGCTGTGCTGGTGACCAGCGCCACACCGCACTATTTAGCTTCTGTTTCTGAAATGGTGCTAAGAATAATGTTCTTCTTCTGTTTCAGTAATATTTTTGACGTGCTTGCACAATCCTGAACATTTTGGGAATCGCGTGGTAAAGAATAGACTTCTGAAATCACTCTTTAATCCCATTTTTGTTTTTAACACAGTTCATAGATTGCCAGAGAATGCTGTTCCCCCTTGGGGCTGATTGCATTCCAAGTAATTACCCTCGAGAGGCCCAGCCCTGTTAGCCACTTTTTTCTTTCTTTTTTTGTAATTTATGTCTGGAGCTTGTTTTTTGTTTTTCTAGACCTCTAACATTTTAGCTTAAACATTTTAAAATACAGTCTGTTTGAAACAACTGCTTATAAATAGTTTAGCATTTGCCAACTTGAGGGTCGATTTTTGATTACTGGGACTGTTTTGTACTTGAGTTTAGCTGATTTAGATGAAGAGGGGTGGATGAGGAACCATCCTTCAGAATAGGGCTTTTTCACCTTTTTAGCCCACCAACAATCCCTTTGAAAATCTGAGGGCAGCTGTAAAGAGAAACATTAGGGGACCCAGCAGATAACATAAATGCCTTAAAGTGTTGTGTAAATCTGAAGGAACTAGATGCCCCTTTGCCCCTAAAGATACTCACATGGGGGTCGTAGGAGGACCTCTTGTTCTAAATTAGGTGTTACTGACATTTTGTCTCCTGGGAATCCAGATTATGAATCTTTTCATAGAGGAAAGTAGAGGTTATCTTGCTTCGCCTATCTGCTCTTCTGGTGGCACGTGTACCTTTAAGGACTGCAGTTCTCTGCTTTTTTTTAAGAAGTTTGTGTCATACAGGGAGATGAACTCGGTGCTTTGTGTCTACCTAGAGGGGTGGGATAGGGAGAATGGGAGGGAGACGCAAGAGGGAGGAGATATGGGGATATATGTATGTGTATGGCTGATTCACTTCGTTGTAGAGCAGAGGCTAACACACCATTGTAGAGCGATTATACTCCAATAAAGATGTTTTAAAAAAAAAAAGTTTGAGTCGGAACGTCATTTTAAAGGAGGTAGAAATTTTGACTTAATCCGAGTGTTTTGTACCGTTCTAGACAGATTCTATATCGTGCACTAAATGGGGTTGCTTGGTTGCCTGAGAGTTACTTTCTCTTAAATGTCAGAACTAGAAGTGGAGGAAACTTTCCTTCTCTGATGTATATGTTGTTAATAGAAGGGAATGGAAATCTAGAAGATAAAAATCTAGGTGGATAAAGTTCTTTTCTCTGGATGTAGAACACTCAGGTGGAGACGCGTAGCCAGCCGTTGATGTAACTAACCTATGGTTCGTTTTCATCTGGGGCAGCACTCTACTGTGATTGCCTGTAATGATGTAAACTGTTTGTCTGATGTAAACCAATGCCAGTTAAAAGTCTACCTAATAAATTACCGTCTGGGGTACTTTCAAAGGAATAGCTGCCTGTTTTCTTATGCTGTATGCGTATAATTCATATGCTGTCTCTAAACATGTAAACGTACATGTAGCTTAACTACTTTATTACTTTCATGCCTCTGTTCAACTGTCACCGAATTAAAGAGACCTTTCCTGATCACTCTGTATAGATTAGCACCCTTCTCCCCCCTTCACTCTGCTTCAGTGAGTGTGAAGATGTATAGGCGTTTCTTTCTCTCATCCTCATTAAGTGGGTATTTTTATTTCTTTAGCATATAGTCATCTTTCCTCACCTCAGGCCTCAAATTTCGCTTCTTTGCCAGAGTAATTCCGAAGTTGGCCCACAAAATAATGTGCAAGCAACAGTGTTCATAATGTTTTAATAATATAGCATAAATACGTACTGAGCATCAGACAAAACGGACAGTAAAATGGTTGCGTGGTTTAGCAATGCAGTGTTGTTGAGTCCAGAGCAGAGCTCTGCAAACCGGTCTTCCGGGCTTTGTCAGCCTTTGGACCCAGGGTGACAGTCAATAACCCAACTATCCTACACACTTACCTGTTGGGAATTTTAAGAGGGCAAAGGTGGTGGTTGTTAATTGAGATGTAATTCACAGACCATAAAATCCACCTTCATGATTATAAAATTCAGAAGGTTTTGTGTATTCACAAGATGTGCCACCGTCATCACTATTTAGTTCCAGAACATTTTCATCCAAAGGAATGCCATACCCTAGTCCCTCCTTCCCCCAGTCACCTGGTAACCACAAATCTGCTTGCTGTGTTATGGATGTGTCTCTTCTGGGTATTTCATATAAATGGAATCATACAATATTTGGCCTTTTGTGGCTGGCTTCTTTCATTTAGCGTGTTTCCAAGGTTCATCCATGTTGTAGCATGTATCAGTACTTCATTCCTTTTTATGGCTGAATAATTGTCTGTTGTATGGAATCACTACATTTTATTTATTCATCAATTGATAGATATTTAGGTTGTTTCCACTCTGGAGCTATTATGAATAATACTGCTGTGAACATTTGTGTACAAGTTTTTGTGTGAGCCTATGTGTCATTTCTCTTGGTTATATACCTATGAGTGAAATTATTGGGTCATATGGGAACTCTGTGGTTAACCTTCTAAGGAACTGTTTTCCAAAGCAGCTACACTGTTTTACATTCCTACCAGCAATATATTAGGGTCCTAGTTTCTTCACATCCTCACCAACACTTGTTATTATCTCTTTTATTATAATCATCATAGCGGGAGTGAAGTGGCATCTCATTGTGGTGCTGATTTACATTTCCCTGATGGCTAATGACGTTGAGCATATTTTCATGTGCTTATTGGCCATTTGTATACACTTTGGAGAAATGTCTGTTCAGATCCTTTGCTGATTTTAAATTAGGCTATTTGTTTTTTAATTATTGTGTTGTAAGAGTTTTTTACATATTTCACATACAAGTCTTCTATCAGATTTGCAAACTTTTTTCCCATTCTGTGGGTTATCTTTCTACTATCTTGATGGTATCCTTTGAAGCACAAAAGTTTTACACTTTGATGAAATGCAGTTTATCTGTTTTATCTTTGGTTACTTGAGCTTTAGGTGTCGTATCTAAGAGACAATTGACTAACCCAAGATCATGAAGACTTAAAGTTATGTTTTCTTCTCAGAGTTTTATAATTTTCGCTCTTACAATTAGGGCTTTGATCCATTTTGAGTTAATTTTTATAGATGGTATTAGGTAGAGGTTCATTTTTATTCTTAATCTATGTGTATATCTAGTCCCAGAACAATTTGTTAAAAAGACTGATCTTTTCCTCCAAAATTCTCTTGGCCCTCTTGTTGAAAATCAATTCACTGTACATCTATGGGTTTAATTCTGGGCTCTCAATTCTATCCATCTATATATAGCCTAAGCTTGTGCCAGTACCCACACCATCTTGATTACTGTGGCTTTTTTTTTTTTGCGGTACGCGGGCCTCTCACTGTTGTGGCCTCTCCCGTTGCGGAGCACAGGCTCCGGACGCGCAGGCCCAGCAGCCACGGCTCACGGGCCCAGCCACTCTGCGGCTGTGTGATCTTCCCGGACCAGGGCATGAACCCGCGTCCCCTGCATCGGCAGGCAGATTCTCAACCACTGCGCCACCAGGGAAGCCCTACAGTAAGTTTTGAAATCAGAAAGTGTGAATCTTTTAACTTTGTGCCAAGGTAATTTTGAAATTGAGTTTAACTTAATTAGATAAAGACCAGTAGATGAGGAACTCTTCTTCAGAACAAGCCTAAGCAGGCCCCACACCAACCTGATTCTTAGAAACAGGTTGGCTCTCTAGACTTAGCCAGCCAGTTGCACTCTTTTCCTTCATTCATTTATTCGTCAGTGATTTTAGGGAGTTTTTATAGTAACATAACTGTGAGCAATGTTGAAAGTTGGATAATGTAAACAAAAATCTAGTGTCTGGGAGATAGTTTTGGAAATCATTTCATCCCAAGTGGGAGACATTAAGGTTTTTAACCAGAGCAGGGATAGCAGGGGTAGGACACTTTCAGGAAGTGTTAGAGGTAGAATTTCGAGGACTTGCGATGGATGAGTTATGGTTGGTAAAGGAGTTTAGGGATCGGAGGTACTTGTATTTCCAGCTTGCGGATGACGTGTGGGACTAGATAGTGATGGCCTGAGTAAAGATACACAGTAGTGTCATCTGGTCTTTCAAGAAGTCCTGCAAGGTTGGAGCAGAGAACAGGATTATGAGAAGGTTTATTTAAGTTTTGTTTTGTTGGTTGTGTTTTAGGGAAACTTGCTGTTTAATTATCACTTTAGGTCCCAGAAGAAACAGAGCAGACACTTTTCCTTCTAAGATGGTTGGTAAGAGAGTTGTTGTTTGATGGTTTCTATTTTCCCTGGAGCTAAAGTTTGGAGGTGGGGTAGGTTAGGAACTATGGAACTTCAGGGTAGTGAAGGGTTGGAATAGCCACTGAGAAATGTAGATAAAATAACAAGGAAACAGAAAATAGGAATAAAAAAGGCAAGACAGAGGATCAATTCAGGAAGTCCAACAGCTAAGTATTATTTCCTGAAAGAGAGAAGAGAGAAAACAGAGGGGAGGAAATTATCAGTGAAATAGTTGAGGAAGCACAGAATGAAGTTTCCAGATTGAAAGGACCCACTTGAATCCCCTAAAATAACACCAACATCACCGTGAAGATGTAAGTAACTGCAGGTTTCCAGAGAAAGAACACCGGTCACTTGGAAAGGATCTAGAATCAGAGTGACTCCAAATTTCTTAGCAGCAGCCAGTTTGCTTTTTTTTGTATATATGTATATAAATTTATTTATTTATTTTTGGCTGCATTGGGTCTTACTTGCTGCGCGTGGGCTTTCTCTAGTTGCAGTGAGCAGGGGCTACTCTTCGCTGTCGTGCGCAGGCCTCTCATTGCGGTGGCTTCTCTTGTTGCGGAGCACGGGCTCCAGGCACGCGGGCTTCAGCAGTTGTGGCTCATGGGCTCTAGAGCGCAGGCTCAGTAGTTGTGGCACATGGGCTTAGTTGCTCCACGGCATGTGGGATCCTCCTGGACCAGGGCTCGAACCCGTGTCCCATGCACTGGCAGGCGGATTCTTAACCACTGCAGCACCACCAGGGAAGCCCCAGTTTGATTCTTAGAAGCAAGACACGGAACAGTGTCTCCAAACTGCTGACAGAAAATGATTTTCAGCTCATAATTGTATATGCAGCCAGATTATCAATCAACTTTGAGGGTAGAAAAAAGATGTTCAGACATTCAGGGTACAGAATTGAGGGAATATGCCAGGAGAAAGTAGCAGCCCATGGCACCCTGGATGGGGCCTGCCCTTTCCTAACAGATCTTGCTTCTAGTTAACTCATTATATGCAGTTGTTACGTTGACACGTTAAAACTTTGAATGGGCCACTGAACTGTTCAGTTTTAAATTATTAGAATAGTATATCCATTTAACACACACACACACACACACACACACAGATAAAGGGGAGGGAGAAGCAGCCAGCCAACAACTCAAAGTTTCGCTGAAAAGGATTGATAAGGGACAGCCGTTGAGGGGCGGGCGTTGGGAATGGTGTACAATCTTTGTACTGTTTCCCCGTGGAAAGCGTTTTAAACGTGGAGTCAGGAGATCTCAGGCTGTGTCTAAGGGCCAGGTCTGTGCACAGCAGGATGTGGGTCGGTCTCACCGGGACGCTTTCCGTTCTTTCCTGGCTGTTCCCAAGGCCTTGCGTTTCCTGTTCCACCTGGGGCAGCTCTCCCCAGTCTTCACGTGAGAAACTCAAGCTTTGATGACACAAGTTTTTCCGCTATTTAAGTACTTTGACCAGTGACCTATGGACAAATGTGTAATTCAGAAAAATTAATGTAGCCTAAACACATCTCATTCTCTTACAGCCTGGGGACTATAAAGTGAAAATGGAGCAACAAGAACCAGCAGATTCTCAAAATACCAAGCAGTCTATTATTTCAGAGGAGGTACACATTGATTTTTACTTCCCTTCTCCTTCGCCATATTAAGCTAAGTTTAAAAGAAATGTATAGACTATTTGCTGTTTCAAATGATTGTTTTCCATTCTTTTTTTTTTTTTTTTTTGCGGTACGCGGGCCTCTCACTGTTGTGGCCTCTCCCGTTGCGGAGCACAGGCTCCAGACGCGCGGGCTCAGCGGCCATGGCTCACGGGCCCAGCCGTTCCACGGCATGTGGGATCCTCCCAGACCGGGGCACGGACCCGTGTCCCCTGCATCGGCAGGCGGACTCTCAACCACTGCGCCACCAGGGAAGCCCCTGTTTTTCGTTCTTTAAGACAGGTTTTAAACACTGTTCCCGCTCCCTTTTTAGGACTTGGGAATTTTGCTCTTGTGTGGGAGCAGTGGTGTATCATTCTTAATTATATGTATTAGCGAAATTGAGGCGGTTTTTAAAGTGAGTTTTGACTGTTGATTTTTAAAATTCTCAATTTTTATTTTTTTCATTTATTTTTTATTGAAGTAGAGTTGATTTACAGTGTTGTGTTAATTTCTGCTTACAGCAAAGTGACTCAGTAATATACATTCTCTTTTATGTTCTCTTCTAGTATGGTTTATCCCAGAACATTGAATATAGTTACCTGTGCTATACAGTAGGACCTTATTGTTTCAATTTTTATTAAAAGTTTCGGGCTTCCCTGGTGGCGCCGTGGTTGAGAGTCCGCCTGCCAATGCAGGGGACATGGGTTCGTGCCCCAGTCTGGGAGGATCCCACATGCCATGGAGCGGCTGGGCCCGTGGGCCATGGCTGCTGAGCCTGCGTGTCCGCAGCCTGCGCTCCACAACGGGAGAGACCACAGCAGTGAGAGGCCCGCGTACCGCAAAAAAAAAAAAAAAAGAAAAAGAAAAAAAAAAGTTTCTCTGGGTAGAAGAATAAATCATGTGAGTTTTAGGGCTTAGACATTTCATCCCTAGGTATCACATCTTGGTTAGATATTTGTGGTCTCAATATGTGTGTTTAAGAAGAATAAAAACCTAAGTTGTTAGTTGTGGTCTAAATTCCAGAACTAATGTATGTCTTGTGTGTTATCCAGTTTACCTTTTAAAAAGTCTCTTCCTACAGGAACCATTGTAGTGGATAAACTTTAAATCCTTCATCTTTGGAACTCTGAGCTTGACACCTTTCTGGAATTCTTTTTTTTTTTTTTTTTTTAATTTTATTTGTCTATTTATGGCTGTGTTGGGTCTTCGTTTCTGTGTGAGGGCTTTCTCTAGTTGCGGCAAGCGGGGGCCACTCTTCATCGCGGTGCGCGGGCCTCTCACTATCGCGGCCTCTCTTGTTGCGGAGCACAGGCTCCAGACGCGCAGGCTCAGTAATTGTGGCTCACGGCCTAGTTGCTCCGCGGCATGTGGGATCTTCCCAGACCAGGGCTCGAACCCGTGTCCCCTGCATTGTCAGGCAGATTCTCAACCACTGCGCCACCAGGGAAGCCCTGGAATTCTTTTTGATTTAAAAATCTTTCTGTGTTATCTGTGAACAGATCTGATAATTATTAGGTTGCTGCTGGCGACAAGTGACAGACAAAATAGTAAGAAAAAGGCTACTTACTGCTTTATGTACACAGTGCACCTTTGCGCTCAGTCAGTATAGTCTGTAGGTAAGTTAGTCCTGGTAACCTAACCTTGGCATCCAGGCAAAACGATGCTGGGTGCCCCTCAGACTGGGTGGTAAACCCATGTGTCATTATGGGAAATGTAGTCATTGGCCGTGGTATCCCTGTATTCAGCTTTGCTGTGTAGTCATTGACAGTCAGATGCCACTGAGTTTTCACATCCTAAACACACACACGTGACTGGCACCCAGATCAGAGGAGAGACGGTTAGGAGCATCCCAAGAAACCCCTCCCTCCCTCCCTCATGCTCCCTTCTAGGTACCCCCGTCCTCCCCTCTCCCAAGAATTTGTCAACTCTCATTTCTTTTCACCTCTTCAGTCCTACCTCCAAAACTCCACAGAGCAGCAGGCCCACCATCAGGAAAACAACTTTCAATTCTTTAGACACAAAGAAAACTTGGACACAAATTTTGGGGAGGGAAGCGTGATCATTGAGAGCCACAAAAGTTTGAAAGGAAAAGTAACTAAATAAAAAACAGCTCAGCTTGAAAGTTTCCCAACTTACTATCTGATCTTTTAGTTAATTTCAGAAGGAAAATGGGTCAAGCTTGAAAGAACAACTTACAGAGATCCTACTGGTAAAACAAGGTAAAGTATTTTTTTCTTCTTTTTGTAAAATGCTGAGGATTTGGGTTCTCAGGGTCTCTATTTAGTGTTTGGCATAAACTTTGATATTTTCCTCACTGTAAACTCTGTCTTAAGTAAAGAATCTAGTTAAGCTGTTTTAACACCATTCTCCCAAGTAGATTAGGGTGAACCTAAAACTTTTGGGCCAAGCCTAATTTAGGCTAATAAAGCAGCAGAATAATTAACAGTACAGGTGACTTCCTTCTATTAAACCAGTTTTTAATCCCTGAATTAGAATTTAAGAGAAATTGCTACTGGGTTTGAGGTAAAACTTACAGGCTTACACCTTGCTCATGGAAATGAAAATTGGGGGGGGAAAAAGTTTTGTAAAGCATTTCACACTGTGTACCAGTCGCCATAAAGACATATGTGGGTGAGGGCCAGGAGGGAGTTCCTGGGGCCTGGCGCCTGCGGTGTCTGAGACTATGCTAAGAAAACTATTTGGGATCAGATTTATGCATGAAAAATGTTCATCATAAATTTAAAAGACAAATAAATTGAAATTAACCTCAACATCTTAAAAATAGAGAAATAATTGTTACAGTGTATTCATTTGGCAAAATCTAAGCAGCCGTCTCCACAGCAGATCATGAAGACAACCCAGCAGTATCAGAAAAGTTAATAAGCTGATAACAAAATAGGATATTGGATACATGGTTTTTAAACCCTGCCAAATAATGTGTAAGAAAAGGCTAGAAGGAAAACTGTAGCAAAATATTAATGGCAGCTATGTGACTAGCCTTTTTCTTCTATTTTCCAACTTTTCTGTTTAGTAATTCTGTATATTATAAATAACAGGAAAAAATGTGCTAAACGTTTACTTATGAAATACAAAAAAGGAGTAAAACAGAATGAGAAGATAGGAAAATGTAACTAAATTTAGTATCCAGGTTATATGATATAAATTCATTAACATAAAAACTCTATTTGCTAAGTGATCAAATGAGAATAAAGTTTCTTTGTAAGGAAATAAATACATCTATCGTCAGTGTGAAAGTACATGGACTTGCCAGTGATTTAAACAACTTTTGACTATATCTAACTAAAGTAGCAAAAAACAGTAATAAGGTTCAATGTTGGAGAGCCATGGGGAACATTAAGATATTCATAGCACTGGTAAACCCAAAGTAAGAAAGCTAAGCACACTACACCCCATCCACAGAGTGGGAGGGGGTACCTGTTCCGTGCAGTGAGCTGGGTGTGGTGAGGCCCGAGACTTGGGGAACACGACAGGTGCACACATACTTACACTTGTGAACACGTAGCCAGAGCTTAGAGCCTAACCTACCATGACACAGCCTGGTTCTCCTTCCTGTAGAGTTAAGTTTACAACACAAAATAGAGCCCTTAACACTAGTTAGTGTGAAGAGTACGTGTTGGTTGGCGCCCATGTGGCTGTGCACCAGCCCCTGTCCTCTCTTCCTTCCAGCACTTCTTCATCAGGGATGTGCCTCGGAATCACTTGGGGATTTGTTTCCAAATACTCAGGATTCGGTCTCACCTCCAGAGAGTCTGCTTCAGTAGTCGGGAGTGGCCTCAGGTCTCCCAGACTCCACACCGTGTGGCCTGTTTACAGCACGGTCTTCCGCATCCGTCCATACGTAGGGCTGCCCTACAGCCTCCAGAGAGCACCTGTGTGAAACATTAACATTGCATACCCGAATGTCAAGCTTTGAAGAATGAATCTCAGTACTTTACAGTACTATTGCATGTACAGAACAGTTAAATTGCAGCTAGAAAATCCTTTGTTCCATTGTCTCATTCATGGAAGAGGGTATGGAATTGATTTGGGGAGAGTAGAGATGTGCCGGCTATGTGCCCCTGTATCGACATTCAGGAGAGAGCTGAGCTCCCCCTCTGTCACCCTGCCTACCTCTTGGAGTTGGTTGACTAGAGGGAAGAAAGTAAAACAGGCTTTCCTTATAACAAAGACTAAAAACGGAGTAACTCAACCAGAATCAGAATTCTAAAGCTATAAGAGGCTTTTAAGACAACAATCAGATGGACGTCTCTCCTCTCTGAGTCCCTCTGAGATGACTGGAGCTCTCGGGGGGCGCTCTTGTTCTACTGTTTCTTATAAATACGTACCTATTTTATGGCTCCATACTGCTTATTTAATTCACCGTAACCATTATAATGATGCTCCTCTTTTTGCTTCCTTTATTCCTAGTGTGTTGGGGATGGGACCTTCAGTGCTTTTCCCAGCACTGTCTTCTTCAGTCTTTAGGACTCTAACCCTAGGAGGCAGCAGAGAGAACTGGGCCAGAAGGTGTTATGTCACTTGCGAGTTATTGACTGATCAGAATGGCTTGTTGGTTGGCTTCTTGCTACTAACAGGAATGTGGGCAGCTGTGAGTCGTCCTGGTAGTCTGGTTGATTTTCATAGGTTCATTTTTGACATATTTGCACTTTAGAATTTGGGTGCAATACTAAAAGATCTACAGTTTACCGAAAGTTTTTTTTTTTTTTTTTTTAAACCAGATTAAATTCGGACACATTTTAATAGAAATGTGGCAAGGTTCAAGCCTCAAGGACAACCAGATAAAAAGTACGAGGTTTCCTCCAAGGAGCACCTCTTACCCTCAGTCTTACTGTAGGGAGACAGATGTCAGATATGGATGCTTTGCTTTCTTTCTCCGGAGCCATCCAGATGTCTTCCTTTTTTTTTTTTTTTTTTTTTTTTTCGTGGGGCTCTCACTGTTGTGGCCTCTCCCGTTGCGAAGCACAGGCTCAGCAGCCATGGCTCACGGGCGCAGCCGCTCCGCGGCATGTGGGATCCTCCCGGACCGGGGCACGAACCCGTGTCCCCTGCATCGGCAGGCGGACTCTCAACCACTGCGCCACCAGGGAAGCCCTGTCTTCCTTCTTTTAAATCAAAATTGTTTGCTTCTTTACTCCCATCTCTAACCGCTGCTTTTTTCTATGGAAGGGCTAAGAGTGAGGAGGAAATTCCCTCATACACCCTTCCCCCTTTAAACAACATGGTTGTTCCAGTAACTGGATTGTCAGTACCGGGTTCCCTGAAACAAATAGCTAGTCAGGAATAAAGCTGTGAGGGGGGACCAGGAGCCGCTCACCCCACTTGTTCTTTTAGGGACCATTTTCCCTTTAGACAGGATCTCACGCATGCAGAGTACTTACCTAAATTTATTAATTCCTCAATTAATAAACAGGAAGGTACTACTTGCTCTACATTGTGTAGCTGAGGTGACAGCTTTTAAAATCTAAACTATAAATAAACGTCTCAATGGTTTACATTATGCAGGATATCCTTTGGAATTTGCACAGGGGCTGGATTTGCACTGCTTAATCGCCTTTAAAGCTGTGATCGCCCGCTGTGCTGCTCACGCAAATTTATGATCCAAACAGAAGTGTTTTGAGTAAATGATTTGAAAGCTGATTTGAAAGGCAGCTCAAGTGATGAGCAGGCCCTCTGTTTAGATGTAGAGAGTTAGATGTGGGAGGCAGTGGTTTTCTCTGATAATTTTTAGAGGCTGTGAGAAAGCACAGTTGGCTCTTTTTTTGATACAGATCTTTATTGCATGGTGTTCCTGGCCGCTATCTTTAGCACATTTGCATGCTTTGCATCTGTAAGGTGCTGGTTATACACCCAAAACCTAAGAAGTCTCTTCAGCACTAATGCTTTTGTTTTTTCTTGTCTGCCTGAACAGAACTTGGGAAACTGTGAAACGGACAACGAGGAAAGGCCAGTCGGCTGATGGTATGAGTGCAAACCTGTTAGAACTCTCCTGAAAGGAAGTCCCACACAGGACTAGGAGACTGGGGGTAGGAGGGTTTTTTACTGTAACCAAGACCTCAGAGCAGGGTTATCTTCAAGTATGATCTTTTATCTTTAACTCTGGTGTTCTGTTTTGCAACACTGTAACTAAATCAAGCTTTCTTTACCAATAACTTCCGGTTCCTGTTACCTAAGCTCAGAACAGTGTTTTTGAGGGGAAGATGTCATCATACTTAAGGCCAAACTTAAGTCAGTGTAATTTGAAGCCACATACTGTATCTAGATGTGTTATGACTTCTAGAAATCTTTTGCGTTCTGGTCAGAGGATCTGGGTGAGAGCCTTTCGTTTGGAAAACTTATTTGGCATGACTTGGCGCTTTCTGACTGCTTGCTTTTATAAGTTGATGAGGAAACGACTTAGGAAAAGACTGTTCATTCAGTTCACTTTCCCTGCCAGCCTGGATGCTTTGCCTGCAAAGATCCCAGAAAAAGTCCTGAAAACCACCTCTGGTCTAGGGGAAGCTGGGCAATAAGTCTTCCCTGTTTTTCCCTTTTATTTTTCCATTTTGTTCTGTGTTCTGTTTTTCCTGGAAGTGGAGCAGCTGCCACAGCTGCTGTGTTTTCCTACTGGGAAAGCGAGAGGAGCCGATGGTCCCCCTGGGCAGTTGTATTTTCCAGAATCCAGTGGTTTTTGGTTTTGGTTTGGTTTGAAGCCCAAGTAAACTTGGGAGAAAGGGTCTTTTATCCTAAAACAATGAAGTTCAGTCTAGTTAGCATATACGACAAACATTGGAACTTATTTGATTTATTGCTTAAAGGAAATCGAAGAGCACAGAGATCAATGTAACTTCAGCAGCGGCCTGGCTGCAGCAGGGCGAGAAATGATGTCTGTAGCGGTTCGTGTAGACCAAAATTTGTCCTGGACCCTGGGCTAAATGTTTACTTCTAGTTTCAATTTTATTTTAAAGAAATTGTGGCAATAAAAACAAGCTTTTTATAAAAAGAAAAATTAAATAATATGGAAGTGTGATTATTTTTTCCTTGCTTTTTTTTAATGAGAATAACTTCCAAAGTTAACTGCCAGTATTGTAGCTTAAATTAACTTCCTATTGCTAATGGCAGATACAAGACAGATTTCAGCTGCAGCATTTCTTAAAATGTGGGCTTTTATCAATAGTCAGATTGCTGTAAACAAATTCCTGGCGTTCCTGACCTTTCATTGGGGTTTCCTGGTTTTATTTCCTGCTGGCAGGTGTGGCGGTCATCCCCGTGCTGCAAAGAACCCTTCACTATGAGTGCATCATTCTGGTGAAGCAGTTCCGACCCCCGATGGGGGGCTACTGCCTAGAATTCCCTGCTGGTGAGTAACTGAACACTGGGGAGTAGAATGGCCCCTCAGGGACTGTTGGACTGGGCCAGGGCAGAGCCTGAGAACGACAGAGCTTAGACGTTGAACACCTTTTCATCTGTCCATGCGGTTTTAAGTAAAACAAAACCACTTCTGCAGTGAGGCACCTCCAGGCCACACTCCAGTGATCCTCTAATCCGTAGCGGTATCACAGCTCACCTTTCCAGGCCACCTGCCCTCCTCTTTGCGGCGTTCTTTCTAGCCTCTTTTGAGTCATTGGCTTTTCCTAATTTGTCAAGGTATTTCGTTTTCTATCACTAATGATCTGCCTCTGGCAAATTTACAGTAATAACTAGGCCCGGCTCTTAACTCCAGAAACTGTGAATGGGAAAGAACCATGATCCTCCTGTATGTATACAGGCCAAGGAAATCATCTTAATTTCAACTAGAATATTTTTTCAGTTGTACAGGAAGTATCTAGAATGCAGTGCATCCTTATAGCACTTAATTGGCTTGTTCCCATCTGAAGAAGTTAGATCTCAGTTATCATTAGTGGTTTAAGTTCTGTATTTTCGAAGTCCATCCCATAGTAACACATAAGTAACAGCTTTATTTTCTTTCTCACTTCCTTACCATTTCACTGAAGAAATTAATAACTTTAAAAGTAATTGAGGGCTTCCCTGGTGGTCCAGTGGTTAAGACTCTGAGCTTCCACTGCAGGGGGCACAGGTTCAATCCCTGGTCGGGAAACTAAGATCCCACATGCCGCTTGGTGTGGCCCAAAAAAACAAAAAGTAATTGAATAGCCCATGTTTCACTTTTTCTTTGCATCCTGTAAATTCCTTTCAGGAGAAAGGATCTGCGATGCTGCTGGCCTCCTCCCACTCGGCCCGTTTACTCCCTCCTCACAGTGAACTAGTGTTACCCACAGTCCCCTCCCCCCTGCTAACCTCCTTTCCGATCTTCTCCCTCCCAGGTGACGTTTATCCTAGCATTGCATTCCAGAGCCCTCCATGTGGCCCTGAGGGAGGAAGGCAAGATGGGAAACACTGTCCCCAACTCGCATGTGAGGAAACAAAAAAAAGCACAGGCTTCCTGTGCTGTAGTCACATGACTAGTCTAAAACCGGGGCCAGTTGGCCACCACCAAGCCACTTACCCGCCCAGGAGATCCATGCTGTACAACAAGCTTGATGCTGAGATGCTCACAAAAACATCTAGGTCTAAACACGAGGAACAGAACCTACTAAATCTGCCCAGGGGTGTTCTTTTGTCTTTAATTTTTCTATAAAAGATCAAAACCTGAATCAGTTTTATCTGCACGCCCACTTTTCCCAAACCTCTTGCTTGATTATTCACACGTAGCTCGGCAGCTTGTGTGTTAGAAGAAGGGGGCTCCCTGTCCCACCTCTCACATGACTGGGACTTGCAGGTCTCATCGATGACAACGAAAGCCCAGAAGCAGCTGCTCTTCGGGAGCTCGAGGAAGAAACTGGCTACAAGGGCGACGTTGCTGAATGTTCCCCAGGTTCGTGCTGCTTCCCACATGTGTGCTTGGGGACAAACTCTTGAAAATTAGCCAAGCAGTTGATTGTTCTGGATGTGAAAGGGCTGATTCTTTGGGTGTTCTTTATGGTCAGGGATTTATTTATTAGCTAATTCACTTTAGAGAAATCCTTGATGAGGGTTGGTCACCTGAGAGTGAACCTCCCTGCCCCATGAGAGCACGGCTGAGCAAAAAGGGCTGAAGTTGGAGAAGAATTATGAGATTAGGGTGCCTTTCGGGGTTCCCACATTCTAAACTTTATTACGTACTCATCTCGTCCATATGCCGCGCTCCTCACTAGAAGACTTTCTTGATGTGGTGAAAGGATATTACCGCATGTAACCCCTCAGATTTACCAAAATTTCCTCAGGAACTCTGGGGAAAATATGAGTACTAACTACACATGTGTTCTGCAGACCTACAGCATATATACTAAGGGAATAGGAGAAACCAGTTCCCCTGCATAACTTCTACATAAACTATGAGTTACAAGCCCACTCTTCCTCCAAAGACATTTAAGTGATGAAACGAATGACACCTGACTAGTGTCTGGAAAGGTGATCTGCTGCTTCTCTCCCCAGCTGTCTGTATGGATCCAGGTTTGTCAAACTGTACCACACATATCGTAACCGTAACTATCAATGGAGACGATGCTGAAAACGTAAGGCCTAAGCCAAAGCCAGGTAAGCATGTGTTGGCTACGTTTACAGTGGTTGCGTTGTATTAAATTTCTTTTAACTTGCTACTAGTTTGATTTTTGTTAATAGAATAATGGTCTTTCAGAGATGCTTCACTGGTACTCTTGGCTATTTTCCTAATCTTATGTATTTCAGCATTTTTCTCTTAGCACTTCATTGATTTTTATGCTTTCTTTATATAAAATGTGCAATTACAAATTTCCATACCTTCTATATGGAGTTTATTCCCACTTAGTAATAAGGACTACAGGCCTTAAATCATAAACAGTGAAAATCTTCAAAATCACTCTGATTTCTTTCTCCATCAATATTGTAAGAATGGCAAAAGTGCTACAGCACAGCACCATATTAACTGTTTTTGTTGAGTTCCATATTTAGTGAAGCTTTGGGGAAATTCTTTGCTCCACATTTCTTAGCAAGTTTGGATTCAGAGGCTTTAATGCCTCTGTCGGTTCCATGTGCTCTCGCAGCCCCACTAAAAGGTGGTGGTGACACAGACACCACCGTAAATCATGTGTTAGAGTGGAGGTCTTCCATTTCCTGTCCCTTTTAGTTGTTCCTGAGTGTTCCAGTTTCCCACTGCAGCTAATTTTAAATGCCCAGTTTTCAAGCTAGCGAATATAACATGCTGAGGAAGAGTTTGGCAGTTCCTCAGAGAGTTAAACATGGAATTAGCAGGTGACCCAGCAATTCCACTCCTAGGTAAATACCCAGAAGAATTGAAAGCAGGGCCTCAAACAGATACTTGGACGCCAATGTTCATTCAGCATCATTCACAATACCCAAAAGGTGCAACAACCCAAGTGTCCATTAACAGATGGATAAACAAAATGTGGCCTATTCTTACAACGGAATATTATTCAGCCATAAAGCAACGAGGCATGCTGATACATGAAGCTTGAAAACATCTTGCTCAGTGAAATTAAGCCAGACGCAGGAGGGCAGATATTGTGTGATTCCACAAACGTGAGACACCTAAAATCGCTGCATTCATAGAGACAGAAGGTAGAATAGAGGTCACCGAGGATAGGGAATTCTTGTCCAGCGGGTACCACCTTTCTGTTTTGGATGATGAAGACGTTCTGGAGACGCGTAGTGCTGATGACTGCACAACAGTGTGACTGTATTTAATGCCACTGAGTTTGTACCTTCAAAAATGGTTGAATTGGTAAATTTTATGTTATGTATATTTTAACAAAGTTTAAAAATACATATATGCATATCACAGAATATGCTTTAAACTTGGCCATTAAAACATTTGATTTGGAGAACAGTAACTTTGTACTGTTGGAATTGTTTTACCACGTGTATAAATGAAATTAGTAGAGACCCAGGTTTCTGTTAAACTCTTATAGCCTTTTTGATAACGTCTTGCACAAAAGCCTTGCAGCGTTTGACCATTCCGGGCCTTGCTGAGATGTCCCCCTTCTGTTTGTTTTCAGGAGATGGAGGTACGTGTCCCGCTCGGGGGCTGGCCTTGAGTGCCGTGTGGTGCAGCGGGAGCGGCCATGGCATTGTGAGTTGCTCAGTTGGGCTCGCCTGGTGTCCGGCTTTATTTTCACTTGCACTTTGTTTGTTTAGAATTTGTGGAAGTGATTTCCTTACCAAAGAATGACCTGCTGAAGAGAATTGATGGTAAGCATTCTTGATTACCCCACTTTCTCTGTTTTCCCCATCCCCACCAACGGGGTACTAAATATAATTCTATTTCTTCCTCATTAAACTCAAATACCTAGAAACTGTTATAAGACTGCAGTTGACCTACATAATAAGTTTCCTTTCCAGGTGGCACAGAGTTTGAAAATAAGAGCAAAACATTCCATGTCAAGTGAAAGCTTTCATTAGGGGCTTTTTTAATTCTACAGAACAGTCAAGATAGAGGCCTGCTGATTAGCCAAAACTATTCTATACCTTCAGTCTTTAACCCCTGCCATGCAAAGGTATAGTAAATAATCTCTTAACCGATCCTCAAATATGCCAGTATGTTGGACGGTTCTTTGTGTGGGGTCTAAGTTAAAGATTTTAACAAATATTTAGGCATCTAATATATACGCAGTGTGATAAGCTGATATAATGAACTAACTAGCAGCATGCCCCTTGTAAACTACTTGTCATGTAGCTACATGTGGTTCCCGGTCAGCCCGTCTCATAGGACTTTGTAAAAACTAGTAAGGTTCCATGGACCGATGTCCTCCAGTAACCCTACACAAGGAGATACTGCAAAAGACGTGGCAGGGCCTTCGGGGGCTCCTCTGCCAGCTGGGTTCGTCTCCAGTCACTCATGACAAAGAAGTGGGTGATCTCCTAATTTGAATACTATTAAGTTTTTATTTCAAAAATTAACTTGAAGCATTGTTTGACCTGAAGCTTTGGGAGCAGTCTCTTCCTTCCTCCCGTGAGTACCAGTGGCATACAGTTTTATTTCTGACGCCTGTGTTTGAAAAGTCAAGGGGATCTTTCAAAAACTGCTGGGATTTCAGGTTCCCAGACAGCCTCCATCCCTACGTTACCTTTTTATAGACCAGACCTAAGGTAGAAACCACCTTAGGATCCCAGGGTCAGAGTTAGAAGTGCTCGTCGTGAGGAGATGCAGTGATTTGAGGTGTTTACTCGGGGAGAGCCATGGCCACCCGTCACAGCACAACTCTGAGGCCAACAGGCCTGGCTGGATTGAGGCTCAGTCAACCGTGTGTTAGTTACAGCTCAGAACAGGCTCCTAGCTCTTCTCATTAAACGGGAACAGTAGGATAGCCCCTACCTCTGAGGAGGCAGGAGTAAAATTAAATGGGATAATGGTGACACACAAATGCTTGAAGGTTATGTGCTATTGTTTTTATTTTTTGTATTAGAAAAATGTCCTTTTAAAAAAAATTCCTTCCTTCTCCTTTCCAGTTACTTCCCTTCCAGCCTTAAAAGAGGGGGGGAAATAGGGAGGTAGAAGGATCTATATATATAGGAAGAGGGAGGGGCAAAGAAACAGTGTTCCTGGCTTTACTAGCATCACAATATAGTAATCAAATTATTTATTCCACACGTACTATTTGAGGAGTAGGAAGGCACGTGGAGTTCAGTTTGCTACGAAGAATAGCTTTTAGCACTCGCCCAACACCTGCTGGCACAGATGAGCAGGACAGAACCCTGTCTTTGAGGGTCAAACCGACTCTGAGCTTGTTCCTAAACAAGTGGCTGGGAAACAAGGGGCAGATTGGAAACCTGGGGGCCTCCACCTGAGTAAAACAGAAGTTCTCATGAAAGGCCCTTGTGGTCAGATTCAGAGACCTCATCCAGTCCATCCGAGCACACAGCTTAACTTGCACATGGAACGTGTGGGTCCCTGACAGTGGAGAGGATGGATGAATCATCATCACTGTGTAGTTCAGCGCAACAAAGTCCTGTAGTGAGCGATCTATGAAGTAACAGTTGGATCTATAAACTTAAAGCTTTGCTGTTTAAAACACAGAATCATCACCTGGTATATGTGCTCTTCTGTCTTTAACTTTTTCTTGTTCTTATCTCATGCTGGAAACGTAGTCCTGCTTTTACATCCTTTATTCTTCTGCTAGAGTAAGATCCTTGAAGGCAGGAAACGTCTTGTTCATCACTATACCACCAGCATCTAGCACAGGAACTGGCACATGGTAGCCACTGAGTAAACACTGATTGGCTGATAAGGGGTATTATCCGTTATCAACTTCATTATCTGACTTGTATTCTTCACCTCCTCTAGATCTGGTAGCTGATGAACATCTGACAGTGGACGCCAGAGTCTATTCCTACGCTCTGGCGCTGAAACATGCAAACACAAAGCCGCTTGAAGAGCCCTTCCTGAAGTTTTAAGGCCAAAGGACAGTCGCCTTGTTTCTGTAACCAGGACACAGGCCTCCTTCATTAAGACTTTGTATTCAGCTTAGTTTCAATGGAGATTTGAAATTCGTTTTTTCATAAAATAAAAGCACAGAATGCATGTGGTGGTATGGAATTGTAATTACAGGTAGATTATAGACTTCATTTAAATGCTAGACTCCACACCTAGTATTAAAGAACAACAACATAAATGCAGGTAATGTTTAATCCAGCTTTTAAAAAAGAAAGCTTAGCTGTTAACTTTTCTACTCTAATCCAGGAGATACGGTATTTTCATAGGAAAATAGCCCTGAATTCCAATTAGGTCAATGCTTCCCAACCCCACTAAAAAATATGTAGTGAGGTATGCAAACAACCGTTTACAGCATTAGAGTTTTTTTAAAAGACCCATATAGGGACTTTCTTGGCCTCTCCTAATTATCTGCTATATGGAATTAATCTGCATAGCAGAAGTTATAAAAGAGAATAACATTCGTAATAAGCAGATGTTTCCAGTTAGCTAGTGTCCTTATAGCCATCTAACTACTGGAGGGTGACCAGCTCTTATGTAATGAAAAACGGTCGATTCATCCACGTACCAAGGTTCAGAGGCTAATGAAAATACAGGGCCCTTCCCTCAAGCACGTGTATATACTTCAGAATCTCATTTCCTATCCTTACCTCAAAAAGTACTTGAAGTTTCTAAAAACCAAGCTCATAGTAATAAGATTTACACGGTTTGGGGCACTGTCTTGGTGTTAAACCGTGAGTGTAGCCAGCACAGTTAGCAAGGACCAGAAACCCAATACAAGCTTCTTTAAAGGAAAATATGGATTGTTTCCGGCTCATGCCATGCCCAAACTTCCCCTGCCCCCAATCCTCAAGGTCCACCGGTGTCACCGGCCATTTTCTTACCTCTTGAGCTTGGCTGTTGTGTGGACTTCTGTAGCCTCAGAGGCTCCAGGATTACTGCCTCTTTGGTGTAGAGGTCTCTGGATGGTTCTCATTGGCTACCCCTAAGTCATGTTTCCAGCCCTGGACCAGGGGTTAGCCAGGCCCCTCAGAGCCAGATAAGATCAGGGGACTAATGCCAAAAAGGCTGCAGTACAGTCTGCTTGTCTGCAGGTTCACTGACTTACCTAGAGATATTTTTATGAGCAAAAATAGATCTTTATATTGTACTTCCTAAAAAGAATGGAAAGAATCATGCAACTAGAGAACTGTATAGATGAAGTCTACTCTCCCTGTGAATACTATGAAAATTTAGCCCCAACTAGTTGCTCTAATAGTAGCCTTCCCCTGTGCCTCTTAAATCCTTATTTTTAACCATGGGCATCATGATTCTCCAGGGACTGTAATCCTCTTCCCTGAGCACCCAAGGCCCTCGTTACTGCTCTTCATTAAAATCAAGAGACACCAAAGCATACAGAGAATGCACAGGCTCAAGCACACAGAACTAGTCTCCAAACAGCCTCCAACTCTTGCAAAACCACTCCCCATGCCAACTGATAAAGCTACACAAATGCTGATGGAGGACAGAGATTTGTAACCCCTGCCTGTCCTTTCTGCCTTCTTCTTTTCCTGAGTGCAGTTCAGAAGTGACACCTAAATCCTAGAACATCGCCTAATGCAGTTTATGTTCTCTGCAAATATCAAAGGCTATGCTTTGGAAATTCGGTCAGTTTGAGAACTGGCAGTCTGGATGCTTTCATTGGCTGGCCCTATTAGTGTATCAGTATTTAAACGTTGAAGGTTATTAGTACTTTTTTGAAGGTTTATTATTAAAAGCTGTATTTCCACCTTCTTTGGGGAAAAAGAGCTGTAACACTGGGTTGTATTTCCATGGTAACAGTGGTCTGAGGCCCTCAGGAGATGCTCTCCAGTGGACATGGCGACCCTCCTGCCTGCCTGTATTTCCTCTGCCTTCCTCCTGAAATTAGTTGGCTTTGTGATCCTAAGCTAAATAAGATACACGTCCTGCACTAAGAAAGTAAACAATGATAGAAAACCATATGAATGAGAAGGACTTCTTTGAAAAATTAAGTTTGATCTTTTTGGGCAATAAAGCACATACTTTGAAAAATGAATTAGGGAATTCCCTGGCGGTCTAGTGGTTAGGACTCTGTGCTTTCACTACGAAGGATTCCTGGTCGGGGAGCTAAGATCCCATAAGCCATGCAGCACAGCGGCCCCCCCGCAAAAAGAATTATTTATAAAGAACTGTGCTATTGCAAATGGAGGCTGCGATATTGTGACCATTTTTTTTTCTGGTCTTTCCAAATGTTAGTCACAAAACTGAGTACCCTTTCGTTGGCCACTCACTGTCCCTCAATATTTTTAGGATTAAACTAATACATTTGCAATAGGTATCTCAGGATGAATTCTGTATGAATATAATGAACCTATATAATCTTAGAAATCATTTAATACCAGATTTTATTTTTCCAACACAACCAAAAGTTTTATTAAATAAAATTTTATTGTCTACTGTTTACACTCATGTTGCTGCTATAAAGTACAACAACATACACAGATTCCTAGCGTGAATTACTCATTGTTCACCCCCACTGAACTACAGACATTGCTTGAGAATTAGATCTTTGCTTTAGGGATTAAAAAAAAAAAACTGGGGCATAGTATCTTGAAGAGTATTCTCAAGTGACGTGTTAGAATTCCAAGGCATAGCCGATACAGTAAAAGAGCACCAACTGTGCTGTCCCTGGGAGGAAAGGGGAATGGAAAACAGGCAGAGTAATTATAAGCAGTTGTTTCTGGTGACAGATTTGACTCTGAAAGCTTGATTCTGCTCATCTGGGCTAAGTGGCTGCTTTGAGGAGGAACAAATAAAATGGGGGAGGGTGGGAATGTGGATACTATGAGTTAAAAAAGTATAAAAAGTAATTATATCTAAAATATAGATTAGATATAAATGATCCAGAACTCATTAAATAAGCTCAAAAATACTGGAAAGTGGCAATTTGAACTACATTTGTTTTTAAACAAGTGGGGGGAATACCGAGTGTCTTGAATGTTGTGTGCAAAACTGATCCACGTCACCATCTCACCGTTACAACCGAACATGGCAAGGCAGGTACATTGGTTTCCAGCATCACAGGCAACACTGCATGTAGGTTTTTTAATGAATAATGTAAACTTTAATGTTAAGGCAGCTGGTACTAATGCTGCACACAGGCTTAGCTCCGTGCCCATTTCAGGAATGAGACGGTCAACACTTGAAAACAAACTGTGAGAGAAGAAAAGGGGAGCCAGCATTATCTGACAAAAACAATGAGTCAAAATATTTTCCCTTTCACACACACAAAAATACTGGAACATTTAGAAAAACAAAGCACCCATCCCGCCAACTTCAGCCTGTTCCTTAACAAATATTTCAAAATACTGATAAATAATGGTGACTGCAAGCAGAATTCCAGTGCCCGAGCCAATGGCCCCGAGGAAGTCGGCCAACACCGACAGGGCGCCGATGCACAAGCCCCCAAACGCAGCCGCCGTGGGGATGTACCTGGAAGACAAAACCCCGAGTCAGGCAGGGGAGGCCCACAGGAAGGGGCAGCAGGAAGCAGCAGTAACAGGCGGAAGAAAATTGAACTAACGTGCCAGGGAACTGTCTGCAGTACTGACGATTCGTCCAGGGCTGTGCACAGTTATGTGTTGATGAAAATGATGAAAGGAATGATCTGACTCAAGAAATGATCTGATTTCAAGAAACCAGTTAATAGCCAAGAAAGGCAATACATGATTTTTACAGCAGAAGAGGAGAATCCTCAACTGTGATTTAAGTATTGGAATGTTTAATATTGTTTGTAAGTGGGTAACCTTTAGCTCCCTCTCGTAGATGAAGAGTAAATATCAAAATGCTTTCTAAGTATCAAATTTATGTGACAAGATTTGGATGACCCTATTCAATAGCAATTCAACCTTGGCCACACGTTAGTATCACCTGGAGAACTGTTAAAAATAATGGGATTGTATTTAAAATACTCCAGAGGGGGAAAAAAGATGGGGGCGAGGGACCATGGATGGGGAAGACAGTAGATGAAACAAGAATGGGAGAAGGATAACGACTAAAGCTGGATACAGCTGAACGCAGGGGTTCATTATAACACTCTGCAATCTATTCCATGTTGTAAATAAAAAGTTTAAAATACCAATGCCTTTTCAACAAATGGTTCTGGAACACTTGGCTATCCACATGGAAAAGAAGGAATCTGGACCCCATCTCACATGAAACAAAAATGAGCTCAGAGTTGTCACAGACCTAAACATAAGAGGATTAATCTTTGTGACCCTGGCTTCTTAGATACAACACCAAAAACAGCACAAAGAAACCAAAGAAGAAATAGAAAAACTGAGTATCAAAATTTAAAATTTGTGCATCAAAGGACACCATCAAGAAAGTGAAAAGACAACCCACAGAATGGGACAAAATATTTGCAAATCATTTACCTGATGAGATACATCCAAAATATTTTTTTTACCCTTAAAAACAGTAATAAAAAGACAACCCAATTAGAAATTTTAAATGAGCAAAAGAAGAGACATTTCTCCAAAGAACATATTTGAATGGCTAATTAACACATGAAAAGATGCTTAACATCATTACTCATCAGGGAGACGCAAATCAAAACCACAATGAAAAGGGAAAAACCACAATGAGATACCACTTCATACCTACTAGGTGGCTAAAATCAAAACAAGAATTAGTGCTGGTGAGGACCTGCAGCAGCTCCAGACACTGCAGCTGGATGCAGAATGGGGCAGCTGCTCTGGAGAAGGGTCTGGCAGTTCCGCAACATGTTCAACACAGTTACTACCCAACCCAATAGTTCCACTCTGAGAGAAATGAAAACATGTCCACACAAAACCTGAACAAGTACGTTCACAACAGCATTATTCACGACAGCCAAAAAGTGGAAACAACCAAAATTTCCATCAACTGATGAATGGATAGACAAAACATGGTACATCCATACAAGGGAATATTATTCACGAATAATGAATGAACCCCCAAAACATTATGCTACGTGAAAAAGACAGTCACAAAGGATCACATATAACTCCATTTATATGAAATGTCCAGAACAGGCAAATCTACAGACACTAGATAAAAAGCCTGGGGCTGGGAGGTGGGAGGGTGGGTAGGAATGGAGAATAACTAATAGGTACAAGGTTTCTTTCCAGGTGATGAAAATGTTTTAAAAATTATATTGTAATGATTACACACTCAGAGTATACTAAAAACAAAACCCCACTAAACTGTATATTTCAAATGAGTAAATTACATGATATGTGAATTATATCTCAATAAACTGTTATCAAAAAACAAAAAACTGGGGCTTCCCTGGTGGCGCAGTGGTTGAGAGTCCGCCTGCCGATGCAGGGGACACGGGTTCGTGCCCCGGTCTGGGAAGATCCTACATGCCGCGGAGCAGCTAGGCCCGTGAGCCATGGCCGCTGAGCCTGCGCATCTGGAGCCTGTGCTCCGCAACGGGAGAGGCCACAACAGTGAGAGGCCTGTGTACAAAAAAAAAAAAACAAAAAAAACACAAAAAACTGATGCCTGGGACCCACCTCAGACCAGATAAATCACAATTCCTAGAGGCGGGATATCAGTATTTTTTAAAAGTTCCCAGGTGGTTTTAAGTGCAGCCAGACGAGGACCTCTGACCTACAGCATTTTAACACTGGGCTGAGCAGTGAAGGGAACATAATTTCAATTAAAATAATAATTTAGGTGTCAATTCTGATGTGGAGAACAATTCACATTTGTGTTAAATTTTGGTTCTTTTGTGTTAAGTAGAAGAAAAGTGCTTCAAATATGAATTTAAATAACATCTGAGAACAAATGATAGATTGAAAAACCAAGAACACGTGTGTGTATGTAACACATTCTCTCTCCTATCCAAGACTGAGTCTAATGGCCTTCCTTACCTATTAAGCTCATGAACCATAGAGGTATCCCTGTGGCCTCTCATTACCATTTGCTGTTCTTTAAGCTGTTTAGCTACCTGCGAAGAGAAAAACAACTTTTAAAATCAAACTCTATTTCACTGTTTACTACTAGGTTCTGTGTGAAGTGCTCTCCACAGAAAATACAGGAAGACTGAAGTAGACACTGTCATATCATAATATTCCCTGAGGCTACAATGCTGCACAACCACATTACCCATACCTTAAGCCAGGGTTTCTCAATCTTTCCTTAATTATCACCTCCCTAAAGAGAAATTAAATACTAAGGAATAAGACTTTGTCGGGTAGAGTTGAGCTTTGGATCCTCACAAACCATTGTAAAATCTAAGAATTTTTCACTTTCCAGGAACTACCTGTAGTTTTTAACTCCCTGGGGATGACATTACCTCATTAAGAATGTATGAATTTGAGTTTAAAATTACAGAAGTAATTAAGTGTATCAATTACCATTTGACACCTAAAAATTATGAATTTTTTTTTTCATTTTCAAACAAACCAAATACTTACATCTTTGGCTGAGGAACCAGACACCTCTATCCATGTCTTAGAAAAGAATGCACATGATCCCAACATGAAGATGATATAAACAACCACATGGACAGGATCCTCAAATATGGCGCCCATGGACTCAGGAGGAGAAAGGTAGTAACAAAGGCCCCCCACTGGGTACGAACGAGCAGGTCCTCCCCCACTGACATCCTATAGAACAAGAATAAAAAGCACAAATTGTCACATTTCTGTGACTTTTCAAACTCCTCAAAAATTATGACGATGTTTTAAGCTCAAAGCACCTACAGCTAATGATTCTATGTAACTTAAAGGATTTACTTTTGTGTCTGATATCTTCACTCTTACAAAATTATATAGTGAGTAAAAAAAAAATTATATAGTGAGTGTCTATTACATAAGACATTGTGAATATATTAAAAGAAGAGCAGTTTTTTAAAAAAATTATAATACTTCTACAAGAAGAATCTTCTCTTCCTGAAGACAGGAATAGATCACATCGATCTCTGATAACATTTAGAGTCAGAAATTTTTCTGAACTATGTAAGAGTACATACATATTCTTTCACTTCAAGGTATGCTATTAAGAATGCAATCAACTGAAATATTAACAGAAGACTAACGACTCACTACCTAAACTTTATATGATTTGTATATTGTAAAGAGTAGTCTTTTAATAAGTATAAAGGGATTTTTTAATCCACACAAACATTTAAGAATTTTTATAGTAAAAGAAATGGGAATAACATGTATTTGCTCATATTAAATAGAAGTTCTGGGCATAGATGGTGGGAAAGCAATTTTTGGATGCAATGATTAAAATGTCTGGTTCCTGAATTTACAATTTCCAAATGATTCATTTACTGTGCCCCTAGAATCACTGATTCTAAATCAAAAGCCCTGACAAATTAAACTTCCCAATAGCTCTCTCACTTTAAAAAAAACTCATTAAGATCACAACACAATCTATACAACCACTCAGTACATTTATTACTGTGAAATTGTCATAGTAATAATGACTGCCAGATTATTAGCTCATGAGGGGAGGGACAGTCCCTCCCCTCACCACAGGCAATCCAATTTCTGTTAAATGAATGGAAAAGGAGTCCAGCTGACCCTTGAACGAGGGGGTTAGGGCACCGACCCTCCATGAAGTCGAAATCCACATATAAGTTATTGTTACTCCTCCGCGTACACGGCTCCTCCGTATCCGCAGTTCTGCATTGCAGGATTCAACCTGCTGCAGACCATGCAGTACTGAAGTGTTTACTACTGAAAAAAACCTGCGTCTAAATGAACCCATACAGCTCAAACCCATGTTCAAGGGTCAACTATTCCGGATAAAGGGAATCATACTTCCTTCAACTGCCTTTCAAGAATTACTGTTTCATCCTATTAAACTTTACATTTTAAAAATGGCCTTCAGTAAATGCAGAAAGATACGTCGCTACAACTTACAATACAAAAGGTAGCACGTTAAGACAAATGCATAGAATAAGCACCGTATTTCAGGAATGACTAAAAAAATAGTTCTTTGGGGGAATACAAATTCTAGAATTACATATTCTGAAAACAATAAAGGCTCTTACTCTTCTCTAATTCTGTAGTTTTAAGGGGGAAAAAACACTCCTTGGTCAGGTGAAAATTTAAACCAGTCAAAATTCAATCCTGGACTTCCCTGGTGGCCCAATGGTTAAGAATCTGCCTGCCAGTGCATGGGACATGAGTTTGATCCCTGGTCCGGGAAGATCCCACATGCCGCGGAGCAACCAAGCCCGTGTGCCACAACTACTAAGCCTGCACTCTAGAGCTCACGCGCCGCAACTACTGAAGCCCGCACCCTCTAGGGCCCACATGCCGCAACTACTGAGCCACGTGCTGCAACTACTGAAGCCGGTGCACCTAGAGCCCGGGCTCCGCAACAAGAGAAGCCACCAAAATGAGAAGCCTGCGCGCCGCAACTAGAGAAAGCCCATCCCGTGCGCAGCAACGAAGACCCAACGCAGCCAAAAAAAAAAAAATTCAATCCTACAATAACTCACACCTCAATCACAATGTGGCTGGTTTGCTTTAGGAGCTATGATGAAAATCTAAAAGAGGAAGGCAGAATTTACTGGATTCCATTTCTAGCAACTGTTCTCTCTTCAATATAGTTATTATGTGCCTTTCTTATTTACTGCCATTTGGGCCATGAAAAACGGCGGGGGAGGCAGGAGAGGATGATTTCGGTATCCTATATAATCAGCTTCTTGGAAAAAAAACATTATTCTAGACAATAGAGGAATAAGATTACAAAACAGGGAATCACTTTCATAAGAGCAACTGTGATTTTAACCTAAAAGGTCACTCAAACGAGATGTGAAAATGCTTCCTAGACGTAAAATAGTACAAAGTACTCGGCCAATCTTAGTTTTACAATGCTTACAGTTTTACAACTCTTCCAAATAAATGATAAACTGGGCTACAGGTAAATGAATCTAGAAATGTTATATATAGCAACTGCTTCAATTATGGCTCATCTCTTTCAGTTAAAAGCATGAAATGCAAATTACAATAAATTTGAATACTTAGAATAAATAATGAAATACTCACAGCCCACTGTCCTAGTAAATTTACTAAAAAGTTGCCACTAAATCGAACTGACAGCATCTGGGAAATAACATACAGGTTGGACACCAGGGCCGACTGCAGGATGATGGGGATGTTGGAGGTGTAGAAGAGCTTGATGGGGTAGCTGCTGTACTGCCCTCGGTACCGGGCCGACTTAATGGGCAGGTCCACACGAAATCCCTGAAAAAGGAAGCTTAGGAGTAAGGCGGAGAGGCTGCACATACCACGACTCCAGACGAGGCAGTCACAGGAGGGACTATGCAAAGACAATGCTAACAAACTTTCCCTTCCACAGAGACACACAGAAATAGAAATCCTATTCTATTTCATAATTGCTAATATTTTGCACCTCAGAGTCTAAACGATGGAATTATTTCCCTAACTAGATTTTGAAACACTGACTTAGCTGCTAACATTTCAAATGGTATTCTCCTCTTTAAGAGCAAAATAAAAATCCACACTCCACTTAACTTCAGCGAAGAAAGTATACTTACCTGAAAATATATAACAACAGCAAACACGAAAACTGTAGCAATGAGGTTCATGAGATTGGGTAAATTCTGACGATAGAAAGCCTCCCTTAGAGCTCGAACTTTGTCTGTCCTGGTGGCCAGTAAATGAAAGAGAGCTATGACTGCACCCTCAAACTCGGTACCTGATAAATCAAGATAGAAATCGGCTGTAGCTTCATTACCCAAAGTTGTCCCAAAAGTCAAAACAAATAACCTTGAAGCTCCAGTACAGGGCAGAAAATATGAGTCCAAATAATTCATCTATGTTTATGATACAGCCATGTGTGGAGCTTCTAAAAAATATTTACATCATTGAGGCAAATATGTCTTTTTTTTTTTTAATAAATCTGAAGTTTTCTCAAGAGACTATTCTTGAGATGAAAACAAAGTAGAATAAACTGATGAAAACTGATGAAAAGCAGAAAACTGATGAAAACAAAGTAGAATAAACCAAAGCAAATATTTAGTTCATAATGATTTGCCTCACCTTTACTTTAGGGAAGGGAAAAGAACATTCAGAGGTGGGGTGGGGGGAGATGGGGAAAAGAAGCAGCAAAGCAGAATAAAGATGTCAGAGTTGAAAGACAGACACTACTCTACCAAGCTTGCCTTTAATTCATTTTACTAAGTATATTAATAAACCATCACCGCTATTTTCTTAAGGCTGGGACCAGGTTAGATGTTAACCATTACAAATCCTGGATGGCATTTGAGAGAAGTGGAGATGGGTAAGGGGAAACACAATGAAATATTTCATAATTTAGGTGCTATTACAAAGCCAAGGAGAACAGCAGCAAAAGTACTAGTACTCCCTGATGATGCAATAATGTTTTTTTAATCTGAAATCCACTACCTTTTTATCCCTCGAGGAATGCTGAAATCAGTCAAAATCAATGACTTCTGCAACAATGGCTTAGGCAAATAAAATTTTTTAAATGTTTGCAACCACTGAAATTTTAAATGAGCAGAGGCTAAATTTTAGATACTATTCTTTCTGAAGCAACAGTTCATACTCCACCAATCTCTGCTTATCAACTTTGGAACACCTGACATCCGCCGTCGCCTGGGACAGCAAACCAGGGCGTCTGTCGGCAGTCCCGCTCCACCACCTCGTGCTCCTCTCAGCACACACCCGGCCAAACCCGTGCAGTTGCGTCCCTGTGCGTTGTACCTCTGCCAGTGTTAATGGTAGTGGGACTAAAGGCCTTCCAGACAATGGTTTCACAGATGTTGGTGGCAATAAAGAGGGAAATCCCAGACCCCAAGCCGTAACCCTTCTGTAGCAGCTCATCTAACAGCAGCACAATCAAACCAGCAACAAACAACTGTGGGGAAAGAAATGCAAGTAAGCTGAAGCAAGAATAAACTCAGAAAGGGGCAGTGAACACCATTGACTACTTTCAAAGTACAGGCATTTTCAACACTAAAACCTAGTCGATGCAGTATCACTATTATGACACCCTGCATCTAACCCGATTTAGTTTCATCAGAAGCCAATTCTGAACATGAGAGGACTGGAAATGTTGTTACATTATAAAGCAGACACTTTGACTTTTAAAGTATATTTATATTTCTCTTATAATGTTTAAATAAGACCTATTGAAAAGCACCCTAAAACAAAAATGTTCACAAAGTTGTAGCATTTATGACAGCAAGAAACTGAAAAGCATTCCAAATAGCTTCAAGTAAGTAAAAGACCAAATGAATTATGATACAGTAACAAGATGCAATTTTATAGGCCATTAAAGGAAAAGCATGTGAACTATGCTGATACATTTTTAAGTATTATAGATTTTATATATGTGTATTCTATATAATATATACAATAGAATAGTCAAAAAGTAGAGCACAAATATGTACACAGATTATAACAATGTAAAAATGCATTCAGTACATACAGTGACAAAAACTGAATATAAATCTGAAAACAATTAAGGGTTCACCAGGTTCTTAAGTTCATGATTTTTTTTTTTAAAAAAAGAAAGCATACTAACTTTATGAGAAATTGAAAATTCTTAATTTTCCTCTTGGAGAAAACATCAGTAAAAGTATGTATCAATTAGAAATAATCCACAGCTTTACAAGTGACCTCTTTGGTCATGTGACTCCTTCCCCACACTTCAGTAACCTAATCAAGGGGGGAAGAAAATGTGCTTCTAGGCCCCCAATCTCACACCTGTCCCCACTTCAAAGACACCCTCCTACAGACATGAGGAGATGCTCCTTCCATTCCTCCCAGCTCTGAAGCCTCCCACCCTCGTTCCTTACTCAGTTCACCCAATATCCCTGTTAAGAAGAGAAAACTACAGTACACCATTTGAAGCATGCTTACCTTAACCGTGTTTTTTCTTTTCCTTAACTGTCATTTCAATGGCTGTACAGAGCCTAACTTGTCTGTTTACAATCTTTAAGTTTGAATTTCAATGGACTGTAAAAAAGGTAAAATTCTCAAAACTCCTAAGAGAGCTCACAAATTCTTTACTGTTTGAAAACCAACTTTACCAATTTGACAAGATAAAAGACAAGTTAGGACTTAACTACTGAGATTTTATTTTGACCTCAGTTATGTAACAAGTACATACTCCCCATCAGAAATACAGAAGCCCACCCTCTACAGGGCATGATAGCTGTCCACAAACCATCAGCCAGACAGTGTTATCATGGACTTCTAATTAAATGACCTGTCCAAGGTCACACAGGCAGCTCTGAAACAACGATAATTCTCCAAACCCCTGTTCACACCAATGTCCATCAGACTAGAGGGTGATTCATTTATATCTGGTGAAAATCAAACTCGTGCTTCTCTAACTGGACAAAGGAATTACAGAGAAACCTAAATGAGAAATGGTTTCTATAACTAAAGGAATAAAAGATGGTAAAAAGCATGCATGCCTATGCAGGGAATGAGAAATCAGAAACTGACAGCATCTCACTGACTAGAACAGTTGATAAAAAAACTGAATACTAATTGCATGCCTTCTAGAATGTTCAATACATATGAATCTCTAAAGTATGTATAAAAATAACACTAACATTTCAACCTTGCTCATGCGTGCACGCACACACACACAACTCAGTTTGACAAAATAATACTTACCTCTACTATGTGCCATGCACACTGATACTCTCTACTCTTTTTTAAAATTTTAATCAAGACCCACTATTTAGATTCCAAAACTCACTAGTGGAAAAACACTGACAAGTGAATGAATGTGAATGAAACATGTGAATGAAACAAGAATAATTAAGGTGAGAAATACCTTACATAACAGCATGCAAACAGTTTTCAAAATCTCTAGGTGGAAACACACTGATCTAATTACATCTCTTTAGCAAATCTACACATTTTCAATGTTAGCAAAGCCTTAAAAAGATGCAATGGGTCACTACCCACCTATGATCAAATGTGAAAAATTTCTCTATACATTAACACTAGAAGGATTAACCACAAGACAAATATTTGTGCACCAGAATTTATGTAAACAACTTAGTATATACCCACTTCACTTGTTCCGTTCCAGGAATTTAACTATTCCTTGATTTCTGGTACGGAAAAAAAATTACAATAGCTTAACTCCATTTTTTATCAATTCAAATTCATAACTGACTTCATAAGAAGTCAATACTTTCACTAACTAGCCCAGAGCTGGTCAGCTGAGGTTCCTTAAGAATATAAATACACCCTTACTAAATACTAGAAAAATTCTACTGATGCATAATGTTCTTAGAGCTAGATGCCAATTTTGAGTGTCTTTTAGAAAGCAGGGTTATTCTAACTATGGGTCACAAAGCAAATGCTGTAAAGAAACAAAATAAGGCAAAAATTGGTGTATCAGTATCCTCATGCCAAAGAACTGAAAGATACTAAAACCAGTTTTCAGAGGATCTTCTTTCCCATCCATTGCAACTCTTCTTCCTCTAATTCCCCGGGGTTATAAATTTGCCAGTCAAGGCGTTTATTTTTTTTTAATTTTCTTACTTTTTCTTTTTGGCCACACTATGCGGCCTGTGAAACTTCCCTGACCAGGGATCGAACCCGTGTCCCCTGCAGTGGAAGCACGGAATCTTAACCACTGGACCACCAGGGAAGTCCCAAGGTGTTTTTCAAATGGAGAAATAATGACAAAGTTATCCTTTAAAGAAGTGTACCTCATACCAAATGGGAACTTATTGGGGCTCAGAAAACTACCTAATAGTCCATTAAAGATTCCTCCCCTGGTTAAAAGATGAAATATTTCCATTTCATTAGAAAAGCCCTGTGATATGTGTTAATGATGCCCAATAAATACCTCAACAATCCCATTCTCCTTGTTCTGAATCATACTCACTAAACAATCTTCTTACTATGATTTGTTTCCTATATAAGATTTCCTATAAAAAAAAAAGATGGTCAAGCATGCCAATCCGAAATGGTTGTATTTCTCAATGTATATATATACTAATAAACTGGTGTTTTAGTTTTATTTTAAACTATTTTTCTGACTTTGGTCCTTTTGACCATTAAAAAAATTGTTTCCTAAATTAATCCTAATTTCGTAGAGTGAACAAGAGGCATCTCCAAGATAACCAGGACTCTAGACGTTCAGTGTTTAACTTAAGCAAGCTTCTTTTCAAAATCCAGTAAATAACTATTATATAACTTAAGTACAGTCCATTCCTGGGTAACTTCTCTAAAGGATTTTTAATGACTACATTAGAGAAATATCTTCCAAATTTTACACATTTTAAGATACTTAGTAGAGGGAAAATCACGTTGGCCTTCAAAAATTCCATTCCAAAATATCCATTTAAAAAATCCATAGGATATATATATGTGTGTTTATATGGTATTTCACTTACTGTAAGATACTATTATTTGTAACACTATTATGTGTGTCATTAAGAAAGAAAAAAATACTTCAATTAAACTATGACACAATAACCTATTACAAAGAATTTTTTATTTTCTACTTAAAAAAAGTTTAGACTTAGATGTTTATCATCTAACTTGCTCTTTCTGTGCCTCTGTTTATACACAATAACTCTTCATTTCAATAACAAATCACAGCAGACTGTTGGAAGACATTTTAAACAGCAGTTAAACTCAACGACATGTTTTATCAACAATGCTTATAACCAAGTGATATAAGGACGATATAAACAGCTTTGACCAAGTTGACGTACACATGCAGGCAATGCCTACCATCACGACCGCCACCTGGCTGGCCGCACGTGTGACTGCATCAACTCTAAGAAAACATCCTGATTTCAGAGACATCGAAATGTGAAAAATGTGCATCTTAGAATCAGTGAAATACAGTTGATTGATCCATAATTATTAGACATCTACGGGGCTATTACAATACATTTTAATTTTTAACATCAACACAACTTATACATGTCACTTCAATAAAGTAAGAAAATGAGTATATCAATCACCTAAAGAATTATTTCAAAAGAAAAGAAGGAACAAACTTTTTTGTTATCCATATGAAAAATTGTATTTCTTACCTGAATGATGATAAGGAGACAGATTCCAGCACCCATTTCAGCGGGATCCCCATACATGCCCGTCATGACATACACAATGGCTTGCCCAATGGTAATGATCATACCAAATACTGACAAAAATTGGGGGAAAAGGAGTACATGCTTATAACCAAAGACAAAAAAGACTAGAAAAACATCTTTGCCACAAAATTCTCAAATTTGGAAAAGGCTCTTTATTAATTGTACTGATGCTCACGTTTCTGGGCTCCATTGAATAGGGCTCTATCTTTGGGTGTATCTCCAACTTCAATGATTTTGGCTCCAGCTAACAACTGCATAATCAAACCAGATGTTACAATTGGGGAGATACCCAATTCCATTAATGTTCCTGTAAAGGAAGGGGAAAAAAGTAAATAATCTTTACGATATCCAATGCAGATTAATTTAGAAGAGTCCCAGTCCTTAATTATGTCTATGAAATACATGTTAAACGTTAACAAGCAAATTTTCATTTCCTAAACATTAATTGCTAAAAAAAACCCTCTCATTTATTAACACAACCTCACAACAATGCATTGAATCAAAATTACTATAAATACTACAAAAACGTAAATTTCTGTGAATTCTAAGCTTAAATTGTTAAAGAAATCCTTTGAAAGAAATTGTCCAAGATTTCTGTCCAAATCACTATTTTTAAAATTTACACTAAACATTTTAACGCAGGATTTTAAAAGCCCAAAAATTAAATAACAAGTTAATAAAAAGATGATATTTAAGAATATCTGTGGGGCTTCCCTGGTGGCGCAGTGGTTGAGAGTCCGCCTGCCGATGCAGGGGACACGGGTTCGTGCCCTGGTCCGGGAAGATCCCACATGCTGCGGAGCGCCTGGGCCCGTGAGCCATGGCCGCTGAGCCTGCGCGTCCGGAGCCTGTGCTCCACAATGGGAGAGGCCACAGCAGTGAGAGGCCCGCGTACCATACACACACACACAAAAATGAATAGCTGTGACTCTCCTAATTCAAAATATAAAATTATATAGGAAGTCATCAAAATCAATGTTGTAGAATGTTGAGTGGCATGAAAAATGTTAATGACATAGTGGATAGGAAAAATATTCAAAAATAGCATGTACGGTTTGATTTCATTTAAATATTTAAGTGGAAAATCATTTCCTGTTATTTTAGTCTGGTTATCAACATGTTTCTATTGTTAATGAACTTATCTACGAAGCGGACTCACAGACATAGAGAACAGACTTGTGGTTGCCAAGGGGGAGGGGGTTGGGAGAGGGACGGGACGGATTGGGAGTTTGGGATTAGCAGATGCATACTATTATATAGAGAATGGATAAACAACAAGGTCCTGCTGTATAGCACAGGGAACTATATTCAATATCCTGTGATAAACCATAATGTAAACGAATATGAAAAAGAATGTATATATGTATAACTGAATCACTTTGCTGTACAGCGGAAATTATCACAACACTGTAAATCAACTATACTTGAATAAAATAAATTTTAAAAAAATATGGCATCTTAAATGGACTCTTCATGTTTTCTCAGATACTTCCTCAATGGTAAAAGATAAAAATATGTTTTATCATTAAAGCTAGTAGGCAGGTAGGGAGATTTCTTTTTATATCAAATCACCAAAATTTAAAACTGTCAAATGGATCTAGTCCAAAAATTAATCCAGTCAAGCTTTAATGAACATTTCATTTAGGAAATATGGCACTTCCACTCAATAGGGAAAAGAAGGATACATGAACCTTGGCAAATAACTGGCCAATATAGAAAATTAAGCCTAGATTCCTTATCTCATGACTTACATTAAAATAAAGGCCACAGATTTAGAAAATATAACCATAAAAGACAAAGTACAGAAGCACCAGAAGTGAGTATGCTTTTAATCTTGGAAAAGAAAAAGCCTTTCTAAAACAAAATACATAAAGGCCACAAGCAAAAAATGGACGATATGATTAGATACAACTATGAAACCTCCATGTGGCAAAAGACAGGGTAATAGTTAAAAGAAAAATGAACACAAGTAACAAAGGGCAAAAGAATTTGTCTAAAGGGCAAAGAATTCTTACAAATGAATTTTAAAATGAACAAACAGCAGTGAAATAAGTCAGAGAAAGACAAATACTATATGATATCACTTATAAGTGCAATCTAAAAAATACAACAAACTAGTGAATATAACGAGAAAAGAAGCGGGCTCACGGATTCAGAGAACAAACTAGAGGTTACCAGTGGGGGTGGGCGGGGACAATATAGGGTGGGGAGTGGGAGGTTAAAACTACTGGGTAGGGCTTCCCTGGTGGCACAGTGGTTGAGAGTCCGCCTGCCGATGCAGGGGACACAGGTTCGTGCCCCGGTCCGGAAAGATCCCACATGCTGCGGGAAAGATCCCACATGCTGCGGGAAAGATCCCACATGCTGCGGAGCGGCTGGGCCCGTGAGCCATGGCCGCTGCGCCTGCGCGTCTGGAGCCTGTGCTCTGCAATGGGGGAGGCCACAACAGTGAGAGGCACGCATACTGCAAAAAAAACCCCCCCAAAACAAAAAAAAAAAAAAAAAAAAACACCCCCAAGAGGGTGTTGTACAAAACAGGGAAAATAGCCCCCCCCCCCCGCAAAAAAAATAGAAACATAAAAAAGAGATAAATGGCATGGCCACTCCCAATAATGCTCTTTTCTCAGGAAAATACCAACAACATAAGAGGAAACCCCAGCACCCAAATCTGTACTATGTAACCCTGAAACCGTAACCAAAGCTGGCTGGGTCTGGTGGAAATTCTGGTAATTTCTAATTCTGAACTGAGAACTGAAGAACCCAGGAGTTGTTGAAGCTAGATCACAAAGACAAGGTTCCCTGCCCCTGCTGCTGAGGTCTGAAAGCTGGTTCTCTCTCCACAAGGCTTAGTTGTTCTACCTCCTCTTTGGGTTCCAAAAAATGACTAGTATCCTTCCAGTAAATTCCATTTTTGTGTTTAAGCCAGTCAGTAATTTCCTATGACTTATAACAAGTCCACTCATAGAAGAAATAGAAATATTCAATAAAAATATAAGATGATGTTCAAGCTCACCAACACATAAAGAAATACAAATTAAATACCAGATACCAATTTTTACCTGTCTAACACAAAGACTAAAGGACAAATATTATCCACTGCTGGAAGAGAAATGGTCATTCTCATACACCATAGCAGAGTGTATAAAATAATTCAAAGCTTTTGGAAGACAATTTAACAATATCTATCAAAAATTTAAGTGTACATTCCTTGTAAACAAGCAGTTAAACTTCTAGATTCATTCTATTAAAAACTTACAGAAGAGTGTGATAGTAGTCATGGTAGCATTGATTATAATGATATAAAATTGGGAAAAAAACTACATGTATGACAGCAGATCCTACAGGCCTTGGGGTCATACCTAAAACACACTCCTTACTGTCTACAAGCCTCATAATCTGGCTCTTGGATTCATCTGCAGCCTCATGTCCTACCACGTCTCCCCTTTCCTTTTTTCTTCCAATCACACCATCCTCCTCATTGTTCTTGGAAGACATTAAGCATACTCGCACCTCAGGGCCTTTGCACTTGCTATTCCCTGGGGGAAGGTTCCTCCCCCAGATCTTCACACAGCCTTCTCTCATGTCCTGCAGGTCTCTGCTCAAATGTCCCTTCCCCCTCCCAAGATACAGTTCATGTAGAGTCTACCTCCCCAAATAGAGTAACATAAACTCCACGACAACAGCATCACTGTCTTGATCACTGCTCTAATCTCAGCACCTAGCACAAAGCTCCACTCATAGGAAGAACTCAATAAATACCTGAATGAATGATTAAAGAAATCATGGCACATCCATATAATGGAATAGTATATGGCCATTCAGTAAAATAGGTCATCCAAGATATTAAGTAAACACACCAAGTAGCAGAATAGTTATATAGTAGATCTTATTTTTCAGTTTTTAAAAAAAGTATATAAATTCATATATATGAATATATATTCAGATAAAAGGTCTAGACGGTTATTCACCAATCTGTTGTCTTCCCAGGAGTTACCCCTGAGAAGCGAGACCTTCATTTTCAGCTTTATACAAATCTGAAATGTTGGTGCATTTTTTTATAACAAACGTTACTTTTTTGATGTAGAAAAAAACCCACCCCAAAAGCCCCTCCTGATCCAGGCCCTCCCTATCTCTCAGCCTCACTGATCAGCATCCCCCACCCGAATCCCCAGCCTGCACCCCGTGTCCTCATGCATGTGTGCTGTGACTCAGGCTTCCCTCTCCCGACGGTCCACAGGCTGAATTCCAACCCAAATGCTCTCCCAGCATCATCTCCTCCCTGGCACCGCAGATCAGTCTTTCAGTCCCATGAGAAACTCAAGAATACACTTCAGAGAGTCCAGGAAATCTCCTGAGATTTTATGAAAAATCTGCACGTGTGAATGTACATGCATTTTTCTAGGGAGAGTACAGATAAATTTAATTAGATTCTCAAAGGAAACATGACCCACAAAAGGATGGAGAACCAAAGCTCTAGACAATGCTAATCACTCCATTCTGTCGTAACTCTATACTCTGTACATACTTCTATTATTACAATAAATACACAGTTTTGTAATTATCTTTATGTTTGTCTCTTCTCCTAGGCAATGAGTTTCTTTTACCATATACTGCCCCTCCCCATAGACATCAAAAAATAGTTGTTTCCACATTTTCACATCTATTTGATGTCAGTACTAGCATGGAGGCAAAAGAAAAGCAGCATATACCTCTGTTGGATGCAAGAATAACTCTCATCCAGTAGAAAGGATCTGCAGAATCTGATGACATGATTCCAAATAGTGGTATCTATAAGATTACATAAAATATTTTATAAAAATGTATTATATAAATTAAGTTTGAACTTAATTTATAATGCATTCACTTAATATTTGCAAAACTTAAAAAAAAACCACTACTCATGTTCAATAACAAGCATACCTTAAGAGTAAAGTTCTTTAATGAAAATAAAAACAATGGGAATCATTACTTACAACATTTCACTAGTAAATATTCCTATCAGTATGGAGATATGTTGCACAACAATGTGAATATATGTAACACTACTGAACTGCACACTTAAAAATGGTTACGTTGATAAGTTTTATGTTTTTGCAATTAAAGAAAATGCTCCTATCAGTACAGGATATATCTACCACGTCACAGAATAATCTTGGAAAGCTATGGGTACTAGTGACAGCCACAGCCATACTCCAAATGTAAGACTGAAGACGAGATATACAGTAGAATACTATGCAGCCATTAAAAATTATACTATGAAGCTTGTAACAGTATGAGGATGTGCTTATGTTGTAATATTAAGTATAAAACAATGGTTCTCAAGCTGGGGCAACTTTGCCCCATCTGGCAATATAGGAAGACACTTTTGGTTGTCCCAACTTGAGGGGGGTGCTACTGGCATTAGTGGGTAGAGGTCAGAGATGCTGAACATCCTATAATTTATGGGACAGTCCCCCACCGCAAAGAATTATCCAGCCCAAACTTCAGTGCCATTGTTGAGGAAACCTAGTATAAAAAGAATGGTATGAAACTGTATAAATAAAGTAAAAGATCAACACTGTAAAAATATGCATAGAAGAAAAAACTAGGTGTAAATATTTTTTTAAATCTTGAACAGTGATTATTCACAGGCAGTGGGATTACTGTTGACTTTTCTTCTATATTCTTTTCAGCATTTATCATATTTTCTATAATGAACACATATTACTTTTTAATCAGAAAAAAAAAAAAACCTTAACTTCAGAATGCTTCCTATTATACGACCCATGTTCAGAACACAGCACTTGGCCATACCCCCTCCCTCACCATGTAGGAGAAAAATACACTTCCTATTTCATAAACCTTCCCTATATGAAGCTGACTTAAAAAAAAAAAGTTCCAAAAGATGCTGCCAGCAATTTTAAACAGGTCATCTGGTCAACCTAAACCTCTTTGGACATCTGAATATATTAGCTGGGTTAGCAAAAGCAAGAAGCACAATATTTTGTGTGCACCCTATAGATGCAAACACTCTTCAGCTAATGTGAGAGATGGGGAGAAAGGAAGTTATTGAATAAAAACCAATTAACACTACAGGATAGTCCATATCACAATATTCCCTAAGTGGGGGAGAGACCAATCAATCAAATTACCTTCCTTAATTGAGTCTCGTAGAGATAGCCATTACCTCCATGATTAGATGCTTTGCGGGATAACAAACAAGAAAGTCAGCCAACCATCCCTAAGCAATGGTATTCCCTCCATTCCCATAGTCAACAGGATTAAACTCAGTGTCTAACTTTACTCCTCTTAGTAAATTCCATAGTTACAGGACCACGTCCAACAAGGGCAGCAACAGGAGCTATTTTCTATGACTCTCAAAGTTGCAGACTTTTAGGCTTTGCCCTATATTACATAAAATAATCAGTTTCAACTTCACAAAATACAGTATACACTTCAGAGAAACAAGCATTTCATGCTTGAATGGAAACCCTGAACCAATCAGATGGACAAATAGAAAATTAGTAGTAGGGATCTCCAAACGCAGTGGGCACTGAAACCAAGCAAGATATTTCTGGGCTAAAATGGCAAGCCGTGAGTGATCAGGTTACAGAATTTCCCTCCCCAATACATAAGAAAACACATTTTTCAAAACATGTAAAATAGTAAAAGAATTTAAAAATCTAAAGGAAAAATATCTATAAAGCAGCCAAACAAGAAAAAGAATCATAAACTTGATGGTCATGGGCGGGCAGAAAACAACAGACAATCGAGGAATAGGGACTCAGCATGAAACTGCTCCAATCAGCCCAAAGGGAAGGGCACAGAATCCCCAGAATCCCCACAACACTCCAAACCTGGAGAAGAGCGGGCTGCACAGATATCCTCATCTCTCCTGCCTCCTTTGGCAGCTGAGAGGAAATGGATGAGAGAAGCCAGGAACGGGGCTCTCTCTGGTGCAACTGACACTTACAGGGCTACACTGAGTCAGGAACTGGGGAGCGATCTGAGGTCAGTAATGGAATAAAGCCCTCCTCAGTCAGGTGGTGAGGACCCTCACAAGACATGTAACAAAAGTCTAGCAAGAGAGCAGAGCCCAGGTGGCATTTATGGCACTTCTCTCAGCTGATCTCACCTCCCACCATTCCCTCAAGCTAAAAAAACACTATGGAGAACACGAGACCCCAAACCCTTCAACTGTGGCTGGGAGGGGAAAACTGTGGCTCTCTCTGTTTGAGATTCAGTGGAAAGAGAATCAAGAAATCACCAGCCCTGGGCCAAACTGCCTAAGCGTGAGAAAGACAAAAAGGTACAGCTTGGGCTTCCCTGGTGGCGCAGTGGTTGAGAGTCCGCCTGCCGATGCAGGGGACACGGGTTGGTGCCCTGGTCCAGGAAGATCCCACATGCCGCGGAGCGGCTGGGCCCGTGAGCCATGGCCGCTGAACCTGCGCGTCCGGAGCCTGTGCTCCGCAATGAGAGAGGCCACAACAGTGAGAGGCCCGCATACCGTAAAAAAAAAAAAAAAAAAGGTACAGCTTGACAACCATGTAAACACATTACAGAAAAAAAAATAATGAAGTAACATAAAATGCATAAATTAATTTATGGCATGAAACAGTCATGAGAAATGTCACACTTTAAGAAATGTAACTCAAGTTATGTTTTCTTCTTCTTGGGTTTTTTTGGGTTCCAGCTGCAAAGCTGCAAATATTTACTATCTGGCCCTTTACAGAAAAAATGTTTGCAGACCCTTGGATTAGAAGATTCAATATGAAGATGGTAATGCTCTCTAAATTGACCTATATATTCAAAGCAATAAAAATCATAATGCCAGGAGGCTTTCTTAAAGAAAATGACAAGCTGATTCTAAAATTCAGATGGAAATATGAGTGACCTAGAATAGACAAAATCATTTTGAAAAGAAGAACAAAGTTGGATGACTTTTACAACCTAATTACAGGACTCAGTTTAAAGCTACATTAATCAAAAGAGTTATGGTTTACCATAACGATGGAATATGATCAATGGAACAGAACTGAGAGTACAAAAATAGATCCATGCTTATATGGCTAACTGATTTTCAACAAAGATACCAAAGTAATTCAATGGAGAAAGGAGAGCCTTTTCAACAACTGGTTATGCATATAGAAAAAAACAAACCCTACCCTTACCTCACACCATACACAAAAATTAACTTGGAATAGATCATAGACCAAAACATCCAAGCTAAAACTGTAAAATATTTAGAAGAATACAGGAGAAAATCTTCACAACCTTAAAATAGGCAAACATTTCTTAGATAGGAAACAAAAGCCATGAGCAATCAAAGAGAAAGATAAAATGAACTTCATCGAAATTAAAAACTTCTGCTCAAAAAGTATTGTTAAGAAAATGAAAAGGCAAGCCATAGACTACGACATATTGTTAAGAAAATGAAAAAGATATTGTTAAGAAAATGAAAAGGCAAGCCATAGACTATGAGAAAATATTCACAATACATATATCTGATGAAGGACTTGTATCCAGAAAATATTTTAAAATGCATATAATTCACTAATCAAAAATGCAATTTTTTTTAGTGGGCAAAATATTTGGGGAAAAAACACTTTACAAAAGATAAATACCCAATAAGCATACGAGGAAGCTGCTCAATATCATTGACCAGGGAAATACAAGTTAAAACCTCACCATGGAGAAAAGAGAACCTTCCTGTACTTTGATGGAAATGGAAAACAGGAGGGTCCTTAAAAAATTAAAAATAGAGCTACCATAAAATCCAGCAATCTCACTCCTAGGTATATGACCAGAGAAAACTCTAATTCAAAAAGATACATGTGGGCTTCCCTGGTGGCGCAGTGGCTGGGGGGTCCGCCTGCCGATGCAGGGGACACGGGTTCGTGCTCCAGTCCGGGAGGATCCCATATGCTGCGGAGCGGCTGGGCCTGTGGGCCATGGCCGCTGGGCCTGCGTGTCCGGAGCCTGTGCTCCGCAACAGGAGAGGCCACAGCAGTGAGAGGCCTGTGTACCACAAAAAAAAAAAAAAAAAAAGATACATGCACCCCAATGTTAACAGCAGCATGATTTACAACAGCCAAAACACGGAAGCAACCTAAGTGTCCATCAGCAGGCAACTGGTTTAAGACATGTGTGTGTGTGTGTGTGTGTGTGTGTGTGTGTGTACAATGGAATATTATTCAGCCATAAAAAAGAATGGAATATTGCCATTTGCAGCAACATGAATGGACCTAGACAATATTATACTTAGTGAATTAAGTCAGAGAAAGACAAATATCATTTATATGTGGAATCTAAAAAATAACATAAATGAATCTATAAACAAAACAGAAACAGACTGACATAGAAAATAAACTTTATGGTTACCAAAGGGGAAAGAGAGAGGGGGGAGGGATAAATTAGAAGTACGGGATTAACAGATACAAACTGCTATACATAAAATAGATAAGCAACAAGGATTTACTGTTTAGCACAGGAAGGTATATTCAATATCTTATAATAACCTATAATGGAAAATAATCTGAAAATATATATATATATATATAACTGAATCACTTTGCTGTACACCTGAAACTAACACAATATTATAAATCAACTATACTTCAATTACAATAAAAAAAAAAAAACCTCATCCATTAGAATGGCTAATATTAAAATGCTGAACAATACTAAGAATAAACAATGATGCAGAGCAACCAGAACTCCTATACGGCTGATGGGACCACTTGGAAAAGAGTTAGTTTCTCACAAAGTTGAACATACATTTACCATAAACCTTAGCAATTCTACTAATAGGTATTCACCCAAGAGAAATGAAAACAAATATCCACAGAAAGTCTTGTACGGGAACGTTCATAGCAACTTTATTTGTTATAGCCAAAATGTGGAAACAACCCGAATGTCCAACAACAGGTGACAAGATGAACAAACTGTGATACAATCAACATGGATACAACCAACACCATGGATGAATCTCAAAAAGCTGATGAAGAAGTTAGACACTGTATCACACCATGTACATGAAATTCTAGAAAAGACAAATCAAATCATAGAAATAGCAGATCAGTGGTTGCCTGAGAATGGGGTGAGGTGGGAACTGACTAAGAAAGAGTACGAGAAACATTCTGGAGTAACAGAAATGTTCTATACCCACTGAGATAGTAGGTATGTAAATGTATACATTTGTCAAAACTCTTTAAAATGTACACTTGAAAATGAGTATATTTTGCTGTACATAAATTGTACCCTTCAAAAGTTGATTTTTTTTTAATGGAGGGGAGGGGAATTTCCAAGATGTTAAAACAAGATGGTAGGAATATGGATGCTTCTTTTTTTTTTCTATTTGTCTGTATCTTTCAAAAGTTCACTCCCTGACCACGCAAAAGAATTTTCAACAAAGTATAATAGTAAAATATTTTAATGATCATATAGTTTCACTTTTCAAAAAAATATATTTGGCTTTTCCCCAGATTATGGACTTTATTTGTTCTACTCCTTCCTCATGCAATTTTTTTAAACTTTCTTATATGTATATTGGTACTTTTCAAACCCTCAAAGAACTTTACTTAAATTATCTAATTTAATCCTCACAATACAATAGCCCTGTGACATGGGCAGGTCACATTTTATCCTCATTTTATGAACTTAATCTCTGTGAAATTTTACTAAAAAGCATCATTGAACTTTATTAATTTATAAACACAGAATATCCCTAGGATTCTAGAATTTGGCTTTTGGGGATTTTTAAATTAATACATAAATTTACAACATGATTAAAAGCAAACAAAGTGGAAAAATATTTGCCCTATACATGTCAAAGATTTAACACTTTTATATATAAAAACCTGTCATAGGGGCTTCCCTGGTGGCGCAGTGGTTGAGAGTCCGCCTGCCGATGCAGGGGACACAGGTTCGTGCCCCGGTCCAGGAAGATCCCACATGCCGCGCAGCGGCTGGGCTTGTGAGCCATGGCCGCTGAGCCTGCGCGTCCGGAGCCTGTGCTCCGCAACAGGAGAGGCCACAACAGTGAGAGGCCCATGTACCGCAAAATAAATAAATAAATAAATAAAAATAAAAAACCTGTCATAAATCAATTTTAAAAATCTCAAGAAAAAAACAGGTAAAGATCATTAACTGAAAAGTAAGGGGAAAAAAGAAAATATGTTCAAACCCACTAGTAAACCAAAAGAAATACACAGTAGAAGATAACCATTTTCACTATCAACTCAGATTAAAATGATGATGCTCCTATTTACAAAAGCAATCTAAAGGTCCATTGACAGATGAATGGATAAAGAAGATGTGGGGTGTGTGTGTGTGTGTGTGTGTATTATATACACACACACACATATAGGAACATATACATAGACATATATACTATGGAATATTACCTAGCCATAAAAAGGAATGAAATGATGCCATCTGCAGCAACATGGATGGACACAGAGATTATCATACTAAGTGAAGTAAGTCAGAAAGAGAAAGACAAATACCATATGATATCACTTATATGTAGAATCTAAAATATAACACAAATGAACTTATTTATGAAACAGAAACAGACTCACAGATATAGAGAACAGACCTGTGGTTGCCAAGGGTGGGGGGAGAGGATGGATTGGGAGGTTGGGGTTAGCAGATACAAACTATTATATACATAATGGATAAACAACAAGGTCCTACTGTATAGCACAGGGAACTATATTCAGTATCCTGTAATAAACCATAATGGAAAAGAATATGAAAAAAAATATGTATATGTATAATGAATCACTTTGCCGTACACTAGAACTAAGATAACATTGTAAATCAACTACACTTCAATTAAAAATAATTTTTAAAAAATGATGTTGCTCAAAATAATTCAGTATATATACTATTTGAACTAAAATAAGTTTCTCAAATTCTAACCAACCAAGACCTTAGAATAACAGTACAGACATTTGTTTAATGTTTGGTTACATACCTGACAACATACTAAGAAGATGAAGAGAGTTATAGCAGTCCATAGTACCTTCTCTCTAAACTGGATCTGTGCAAGAAAACAAAGAATGATCAATCAAAACCAAGAAATAGCAAATATAAAGAAAAATCCATATTAAACCTTAACCAGCATTCCCCATCATGACATGCTCCTATTATTTACTCTTAAAATATTCTCGCCCTAGTTAGTAGCAGCTAAAGCAAACAGCTAAACTTCTCAAACATCTTTCTATACTTTTTCGAGAATTAAGTACAACTTAAATACAGGCTGGCCTCAAGGCACTGTACCACATTAATTGAGACTGAAAAGGATGAAAAGACACAGATCTAATATGCACACATTTCATTAACACTGTATTGTGGAAAGCTAGGACTGCCTGTAATATTATTCTGTGAATGCTTCATAGAATATGAAAAGCTAAAGTTTCTTGGGATGCCTTACATGTAACTGGAACAACTATTTTTATAACCTCAAAGCAATAAAAAAAGAAATATACTTCTAAATAAAACAGTAAGTTTAACAGAAGTCTTACTTTACTCTTTTTAGTCCCTATTCTGGTTAGTTCCATGCGAAATTGAACATACAGTAAAAGAGCAATGTCTGGGAACTGACCAGTTTGGGATTAACAATATTTCTGGAATAGAAATGCCTCAGTTCCAAAGGCGTACAATGATGGAAGAACAATTAGATGTGGTCAATATCTTCCGAATGCATTTCTGTGATTTTTTTCTTTGTACGGAACGAATCAAGAAATGGGAGGTATATAACTGCACAGTTGCAATCCATTTATGTGCAACAGTTGTGCTCATCAAAACTGACACAACAGACTGGGTCATTCCTAGTGCGGTAGACCACAATGGACAGGAGAATACTATATCTTATAACACACAGACCAAAGAAACACTTGGTTTGGAAACGTCACAACTTAAAGAACAGTCAGTTTTGAAACCATGAGATAAACTAGATTTAAAAGGTCTACACTAGTTTTATTCACTTTGTGCCTCTTGCAAGGAGAAGGAACAGGTAATATTTTTCCAATTAGAACCAGAAAAAGGTTGGGGAAAATAAATCAATCTACATAGTTTAACAGAATAAGTCATTTAGCTACCCTCTGTATTACTAAAATATTATACTTACTTTCCTTTCAGGTTTCTGAATTTCTGGTAGAACTGCACAGAAAGGTTTGATAACTTCTAAAAATTTGACTGTTAAAAAATAAAAAAAAGAATGTCCCTATTACAAAGTTTTTAAAAAGAGATGTATCTTTTCACAGAGTCAAATACAAATGTTTTCTTTCAATGGCAATCCATCCCATCCACATCCCCCAAAATGAATTAACCATCATGCTCTCCATTTCAAATACATAAGGGAAGAGAAATAATTCACGGGACAAAGGAGCCCAAAGGGTTTAAGGGCAGGTCAGCAGAAGCAAAGTAATACAGGTAACCTTGTACCACAATTTTGCTTCCTCATGCTTGAATCTCACCCCTTTTATATATACAGAAAAGGAATAATTCAGTGAGCACCACTACGTCAAAAAGAGCAAATGCAGTGTACTCACAAGACCATGCATTACAGAAGGAAATAGGACATATCAGAGAAGGAAAGTACAACAGGAAATGGGCTGTAACTGCAGGACTGACTTAATTGGGGACTGAAAAATGCTGAAATGCATAAATGAGAAAGATCACGGAACGACCTTCTATAGGTAGGTTTTCAAAGTACTGTATACAATCTCTACTTCATTTCACTAAGTCGCTATTCATTGCTTGGTCACTCTCCCACAAAAGGATCTCAAAGTACTTGTGTATATACAATCATCAGCCCAGAGAATGACAACTACATTTCATTAGAAAGTACTGTTTTCCCAGACAACTCATAATATTGAAAAGATAAACCAAGGTTCTTTAAGGATAGGCACTCTCTTCTGGCACGGCTTAAGTCAAAGTCCTGCCAAAGAACTGAAGGATGAAGATGATAATCTCTCAGTCTTTGCCAGCGTCTATAATGTACAGAAACACAAAAAGCCACAACTAGGTATTAGTCATGATCATCTTCCCTTACAAACACTGGATTCTGTATATATGAACATCAGGATATTATTTTTAAACTGACATGGGTAATTACACTTCAGCAGTTAGCCAAAAGTTGACCACACTATATATTTTTAAATTTATTTTATTGAAGTATAGTTGATCTGACTATACTGTCTTTTTATAAAACCTCTCAAAATGATGGCAGCCACTGATGTTTGACAGAATTCAGAAATTCTCATGGGCAGATGTTTTGTTACCCAAGTACCATTTCAGACAATCTGGAAAGCAAATCTGAATTATGAAAGTGTTCATCTCTAATGTAAAACCAATGTCAATCACATCGGGAAACTTCCTAGAACCCCTTTACCCCTTTTCCTTCCCACTTCCACCCAAGCTACCCTCCCTGATCTCTTGGCTTAAGATCATGTGTTGTAGTATTTATGTAAAAAGCAATGCTTTTTTGTCTGCCACTTGTCTATTCTTGTGCTGCAGAATTTAACCCATTATACTGCTAATTCAAGACCAAGAGTCTCCTCTACTTCCTTTCCAGCTTCCCCCAAATGTCCACTAGTTAGCTAGCTGGCCAGTGGGTGCACAGCTTGGGTTTGCGGGAATCCACTCATACAACAGTCACCCCAACAGCTATGTGAAGGTTCCTGGTGTTGAGGGTTTGGGAGAGGGCCCTCAAAAGATCCCCATTATGTAAGGCCTTGTCCCTAAGGCTTACACAACCTGAGACACGTTTAGTTTTCAGTACACACTACAGAATGATTGAAATGAAAATTTTAAAGAAAACTTTATGCCACCAGTCGCCTCCTTTCCTCCCCGAAACTACACGCCATGCATCACTTTTTAAAAAATGAAACAAGTCAGGGACCTTCATTCATCACAACTAACATGCCAAAGAACAGTGATTTGGGACTAAAAATATGAATTTCCGAAGCTCCTGCCTGAAAAATTAATAGTGGTCCAGGTTTCCCCTGGTTCCCTAACTCCCCGCCCCCAAAACCAACGGCCTCTCCGCGCCGTGCGCCGCTCCTCGCCACCCACCAAGATGCGCAGACCCCGGACCTCCGGGTCCCGGCCCCGCAGCCGGCCCGGGCGAGGCCTCGCACGGCTGGAGGAGCCTCCGCGGAGGCCCCCGGCTAGCGCCCTCCTCAGCGGCCCGGCGCAGCCCGCGTCTCCCCGGCCCGCGGGCTAAGCGCCCCCGGGGCGGTCGCCTGCCCCACCGCCCGCGGCCCGTCGGCGCCCGCGCCCCCGGCGAGGGCCTCGCCGCCGCTACTCACTGCCCATGGCGGCGGCTAGAGCGGCCCGGCGGGGCCCTGCGACCTCGGCGCGGCCTTCGCTCGGGTCCCGCGGCTCTGGCCTCGGCACCCGCTCCCGACGCGCTCCGGCCCGCCCCGCGCAGGCTCCGCCCCGGTCCACGTGACCCGCGCGCCCACCCAGCCAGGCCCTGGCAGGCCCCGCCCCCCGACAACAGCCTGGCCGTTGGCCGCTGGAGCAGCTGACGTCCGCCGCGTTGCCATGGCCACCGCCGGCTCTCCCGTGGGCGTCCTCCAGTGGGTTCCGGGAGCTGGGAGCCTCTGTGAGGCCAGGGTCGCCAGGGCTTTTCCGTTCTGAGTACCTCTCCGAGCTCAGTGTCCAGCAAGGGCCGTCTCCTCGACCGCGGCTCCCGAGCGCCCCGCGGGGCAGCTCAGGACCCAGCCAGAGCGGCCGCCCCAGGAGCGAGGGCCGGGGTTCGATACCCAGGACTGGGGCTGAGACGCCCCCAGAGCCGGCGTGACCCAAGCAACCTTTTTATTTTGCTTCCATCTTATTGGAACCACTAGGAAGTTTTCAGAAATTTGTGACTCTTTGTCTATAGTTAATAGCTTCTGAACTCTCCACTATCTAGCACTTTTTTTTTTTTTTTTGGCTTCGCGGAGCAGCTTGCAGCATCTTAGTTCCCCCACCAGGGACTGAACCCGCAGTGAAAGCGAGGAGTCCTAACCACTGGACCGCCGGAGAATTCCCTCCACTGTCTACCACTCACGCTCCTTTAGCTTCTCCGAAATACATCAGGATTTTGTCCCTCTGGACTAGTCTCTTGTCTCCTCTTGGACGGCGTAGTGTAAGGGAACGCATGCAGTGTTAGGAATCTAATGGCCGTACATTAGATTCCTAATTCCTAATGTATTAGGCCGTACATTTTAGTCCCTCCTACTTCTTAATGGCTTTGGGCAATTAATTTTTTCTGAGCTACATCAGTAAAATAAGGATAGTGATAGCCACAGCCTACAGGTGTGAAAACTAAATGAACGAAGAGATTGACACATGGAAGGCCCTCAAATTTATTTTCTTTACTCAAACTTTAAACCCCTGCAATATAACTTCTGCTCTAACAACTGCTGAAACAAGCTATTTCAAAGGACACTCAATGACTTATAATCACCAAATCCAATGATCTGTTCTAATGCTTAGATGTATGTCTAAAAAAGAAGCAAAGTACACACACACACACACACACACAGCCTCCCCTTGACCACACTGTAGCCAGGCTCCTCTGAGCCCTTTCTCCAGTAGGCCTTACCTTGACCTATAAAGAGGTGGAACAAGCACCACACAGTTCCACCCTAGGCTGTCCGTAGCCCCCTTAAAGTATCTGTCTGGGAAAGCTCAAGGCTGCCAAAAGAATTTACCGTTTCTTCCAGCCAACACTTGAAGGCAGGATCTCTGGCTCCCAACCTCTGTGGAAGGATAGGACCTTAACTTCCATTAGCACCACTTAACAAACCTGGATGGGTTTCACATGGACCAAACCTTACAGCTTTTTTCACTTAATTTTTCACTTTCCTGACTCTACTGAGCCTCCACTCACTGCCCTCTTCCCATTCTCTCACTCTCCTCTTAAAAGGCCAGTCCAAATCAAAGTTGGGTTTAATTCACACTGGATTCTTTTCCCTTATGCAACACATAGTATATTACTGAATAAAATCTGTCCTTAGCACTTTAGTGTCCAGCTGTGTTTGTCTTTAAACAAAGTTATGTACATATACATACATGCACATACATATATATATATGGCATATATATATGGCAATTTAGGCTGGGCTTGCATGAGTCTCTGCTCCACTTGGGGTCATCTGCAACAGGTCCAAGGCTGAGGACTTGAATTATCAGAAGGCGCTCTCACTCACAAGTCTGGCATTTGATGCTGGCTGTCAGCTCCAACATCTCCATGTGGCTTCTCCATGTGGCCTGGGCTTCCCCACAACATGGCAGCTGGGTACCAAGGCATGTCCTTGGAAGTGACCCAGCATCACTTTCAGTGCATTGCATTTATAGAGGCAGCCACAAAGTCTTGCTCAACTTCAAGAGGGAAGGGAAATAGACTCCACCTCCAGGTGAGGATGTGGTAAGATTCTGGAAGAGCTTGTGGGACACAAAATATGACTCTGGCCTTTTGGAAAATGCAATCTGCCATAACCATCACTGCACATCCTGTGACTTCATTCTTCTCTCATTCTACTTTGTTTTAGTCATTTTCATACTTGCCTAATCTCCCCTAGTACACCATAAACTTCTGGAGAGCAGGGAGGGTCTTATTTAATTTTTGTATCATTTTCAGTTACCTGCAAGTGTTTGACTTAAATACAGTTTTGACACTAGATTGTGAACTAATTTCGTGAATCCTTTCAATAAAGATGAGCTAAATTGAAAATCTAATTGACAGAAGGAGAAGAGTGGCCTGTACCTCTCTCTCTCTCTCTTTTTTTTTTTTTTAACATTTATTTTTTGCGGCATTTATTCCCGGGCCATAAGTTTTTGTTTCTTCAGTTTCTTCTGGGATATTTTTCTTCTGGGCAACCTCCTCTTCTGGTTTAGGAACAATCTGTTCTTTTTCAGTAAGGATCATCTCAATGTGGCAGGGAGAGCTCATGTATGGTTGATCCGGCCATGAGCTCTGTAAGTCCTGCACCACATCGTTGGGGCTTTGTTCGCCTGGATTTGCTCAATGACCAGAGACTCTACATCTAAGCCCTTAAGTTCAGCATTACTCTCTGCATTTTTGAGCATGTGCAGTAAAAATTCAGCACTCTTTTTGGGCCACCGACCCTGGGTCCAGCCCCGCTCTTTGGCCTGGCCACACCTACCAACTCCACCACTGTAACAACAGAATGGCACACATTGCTTCTTTAAAGTGACATCCTTCAGATACTTGGTGGCTTTTCGGATATGCATACCTTAATGGCCTGGGCAGTTTCATGAGTGTTCTTAAAGTGAACATGAAGATTTGAACCTCTTGACTTGCATGATTTTGTGGGGTTTTCTGGGTTAAGTGAATAGCGAACCATTTTTAGAGGTCACCTCAGGCCCCTTACCAGAAAAGTTCTCTCTTTACTACCTGTTTCTGGGACAGCTCGCTGGTTCAAGGAAAAGCCTGGGAACAAGCTGGGAATATACCCTAGATAACTTTTGTGAATTCCCTTTCCAAGATTCTTCCGTCTTTCTGCTACTACTTGCCACTCAGGACTTTTCCTTGCATAACCACAAGACGCCACCTAATCTACATCTATCAGGAATATCACTCTATCATGACCTTCCCCCTTGTTTTAAGCATATTCAGCAAGAATCTCTCTCTGCATGTAAAGTATTTTGTCTTCTCAGATTATTAGTCCGTTGGGGCAGTGGGCAACCCATTTTATCTCTAAATTTCATGTGTTTCTAATGTCCAGAACAATGCCATATATGCAACACATGTTCAATAAACTATTTATTGAGGAAATACCATTCTACTCTTACAGGATCATATCTTATCTTTGTTCCATTATAGCTGGTTCTTCATGTGAGTCAGAGAAGACACAGGGAAACAACACTAAAGTAGTGTACTTTTATTAAAAGTTTGCTAAAATTAACTGATTTTGCAGCTAGCCATGGGGAACTAACAGTCCGCTTTAGATTGTGCTTTATCAGATTTAAATACAAACATGACAGTGAATTACTACTTCCATAGAATAATTTAGGAATTGTCTACTTGTGTAATAGTGTGTTACAAATATTGAGGATTTAAACATTTTGTCCAAATTTCCCCAAAATTTAATAGTTTTAGCCTGAATCCTCTGAGAAGCTGAAAAATGTAAACCAAATATCCAAGTACATCTAAGAGAAATTAGGTAAAAGGCTTGAGGAACCTCAAGACCTAAGTCTTGATTCTTTCTTTCTTTCCTTCTTTCTTTAAATCTAAGTATAGTTGATTTACAGTGTTTCAGGTGTACAGCAAAGTGATTCAATATCATATATACATACATATATATTCTTTTGCAGATTTGTTTCCATTATGGTTTATTATAGGATATTGAATACAGTTCCCTGTGCTATAGAGCAGGACCTTGTTGTTTATCTATTTTATATATAATAGTGATATCCATTAATCCCAAGCTCCTAATTTATCTCTCCCCCACCCCCTTTCCCCTTTGGTAACCATAAATTTGTTTTCAAGGTGTGTGAGTCTGTCTCTGTTTTGTAAATAAGTTCATTTGTACCATATTTTAATTCCACATATGAGTGATATCATATGGTATTTGTCTTTCTTTGACCAAAAGTCTTGATTCTTAATCTGTGACTTCCTTCCTGTGTAACCCTTAATTGCTAAAACCATATTTCTTCAATTTTGCAAAAGTGATACTGTTTCTATTGCCAGCCGAGGAATTTTTTAAAATAATAAAACTTCAAAGGTAATACAGTCAGCCCCCAAATGGCTATGCTTTAGAATATTTTTGCTTATAGTATGTGTACGGAAAATATAGGAAAACTGAGCAAAATTGTTCTTATAAAAAAGAAAATTTGGGGGACTTCCCTGGCGGTCCAGTGGTTCAGACTCTGTGCTTCTAGCATAGATTTACATTAATGGGATATTAATACCACATTATCAATTTTTAAAATATTTTACTTTATTATTGATATATTTATCCCATTCTTTATTATGTGAGTATTTGATCTGGAATTCTTCAAATGGCCTCTTCCTGCAAGGTAATTCAAAATGCTGATCCACGTTGCACTGGTGATTGAGAGTAAGGTTAAGATACAGAAGACATTTCACGGCTCAGGTTGGAGGTGTAACAGGAAACAGACTCGTGAGGTGTAAAGTTAGAAATCTGGAGAGATCTCCACTAAAAAAAAAATCTGGTTTTCCATCTCATTTTGTGCTCAGACTTTTGAAATGTTTTAACTCAAGAAACCGAGAGATCTGAAAAAAAAATGGCACTGTGCTTTTATTTTTTTTCTAGTTCAATATACAACATTGATAACCATTCTCATTAAGCAGACCTTTGTAATTTTACTGGTTGACATGTGTGACACTAAGTTACATGATTTATAAGGCCTGCACTAATTTACATGGTTTATAAGGCTTGGCGAAGGAAGAAAGCATTC